TTCTCTTCTTCCTCGTTTTGGTATTTCTGCTAAATCATTACTCAATAAATAGTTTATAACCTTTTTCATCATTTAATATTATATATTTTATTTAGTTAATTTATCTTTAAGTAGTTTTTCAAAGAATTCTACGTTTTAATCTTGGAATATATACTTGAAAGACTAAGTTATTTATAAGTTTTTATAAGACGAATTGTATGAAAGGTTTGCCTGTTGATGCGGTACGTAAGATCGTTCCTTATAAAATTGGAGACCCTAAATATTTGACAATAAAGCATAGTGAAGCATTGAAGAGAATACGGAACAAACATAAAATATCAAGATTTGGTCCTAAAATAACAAGACATTTGAAACCAAGAAAAAACAATATGTAATTGAATACAGTATTGTGAGAGAGGGAGTGCCATTTGGTTTAAAAAGTATAGGAAACATCATAACAGAAGAAAAAAAAAATTACTATCTTTGATTCATGAAGAAGTAGAAGAAGATAATTTAAATTTTGGAGTTAAACTTGATATTGAAGTCCAAATAGTAGCAAAACTCCCAGATAAAGAATATGGAGACAATGAATTTAGTTATAGAGAAATTTACTTCATGCATGACTTTGATGAATATGTAGATGAAGATAATATAGAAGATGTATTGAATAAAGCAGATGAAGAAATAAATACCGACATAGAAGAAGACCAAGATAAAGATAGTATAATAAGAATACACGCATTTCATTTTGAATTGATAATTATTGAAGATATTTACTACTAACAAATTTCTAATAATATTTATTTATTAGAATTATGGATTTATAAGATAGGGTTATTAAAGGGTAGGGAATAATGTTTATTGTTGTCTATTGTTTTGTTTTTTTTAATGTTGTTCTCCGCTTGGTTTGTTTTTGTTTTTGGTTGTTATAGGAATTCTTGGAAAAGACATTTAAGAAGATAATCATATTTATGTAATGGATAAATTTTGTAGATACTGTGTTAAAGACTTACCAATTGATAATTTTGAAGATGGATTGAAGACTTGTAAGACATGCTTGGAACACAAGAGAAAAAACTATGACAAACATAAAGATAAAGTAAATGAAACACGAAGAACTAAATATAAAGAAGATGAAGAATATAGAAAAAACAGGAACAAATACAAAACTATCGTGATAAAGTTGCCTTTTGTAATGTATGTAATTCATCAATGAAGGTACAATGTTATTCAAGACATTTAAAAACAGAGAAACATAAAACGAATTTAGGAACGGTTGATGGATAGGATTTTGTAAAATGAATAAGGTAATAATGCTTTTGACTGCTGTGAATTTGAAAAAATAGGATGAGGTAAGTATGCTTTGACTGCTATGATTTGGAAAAATTGACTGAGGTAAGTATGCTTTGACTGCTCTGATTTTGAAAAATTGAATGAGGTAAGTATGCTTTGACTGCTATGATTTTTGAAAATTGAATGAAGTAATTATGTTTTGATATTGTTGAGAAAAATGAAGCAATTAACAATATATAAACTGGCTTTTTGGACTGTTATGTTTTTTTATGAATAAATTTTGATTTGTTATAATGCTATGATATTAGTTTAGAACACTTCACTGAATCAATTTTTTTTTACATTTTTTCCCCCAACCTGCGATGCCGAGGGACCAGCCGAGACAATGGAGGCGTTGTCGCCTTCATTCACGGCTGCTACTGCCTTCTTACCCTTTCCCTTTTCCTGACCTTTTGTGTTGAACCAACACTTCTCAGTGGTATGGCCGGCCTTCCAGCAGATTGCACAGCGATCTTTGCTGTCTTGACCTTTTCCACCCTTGTCCTTCGAGTGGTTGTCTTTCCCTTTTCCTTTCTGATCCTTCCCTTTGCCCTTCTTGCCATCCTTTCCTTTGCCACCTTTGTCCTTACCTTTTCCCTTGTGTTGAACGAGTCCAATCTCCATGGGATCACTGCGTGCGGTGCTACCCGCATACGCGGCCGATGGCTTCCACACCTGCTTGGCTTGCAAGTATGACACCACCACTTCGCGCACAGCTTGGTAGGTGCTCAGCGTGGCTATGTGCATGGAAAGGTGCTGTTTCAGGGCATTTGGAGTTTCGGTCAGAACTACGGCACGCTTATCTTCGTCACTTATTGCTTTCTGTGCGCCGTATTCGGCTTCGTACCTGTCTACGTCGGCCTCCCACTCTTTTGACGGAAATTTCGGGCTAAGTAGTGAGCGTCTCCAGATTAAACTCTTCGAGTGGTTATCTGGGGCCAACTCTCGGTACAGAAGCCTCCAAAACTCAAAACCGTTCTGTTCTCGAATTCCACGGGCTATCTTCACAGCTACTGCTAACTCCTGTGTCCAGGAAGTCAGCATGGCAAAAAGCTGTCTGCCACGTGCCTTGCAGTCATCAGTCATATCTACAGGGTCCACAAACGTGGTGCTTTTGCGTGCTTCTTCCAAGTCTGTGGGGAACTCTTCGTTGATCAGTGCCAGATAGGTTTCCACCTGAAAGGTGAAGCGTTCCCACTGCTCCCTGTCCTTTAAGGACTGAGGCTGTTTCACAGACTTGAGCACGTCAATATGACTGACAGGTTTACTCATGCCGGCGGAGCTCCCCGCGCTGGGCTGGGGAACTGCGCCTGCTGCGCCTCCGTTCTGCAAGGATTGCTGCAATTGTCCCAACGCGACGTTGAGGCGTTGTTCCAGCTGCTCTTTCTCGAGCTGCAGCTGCGCATTCACCTGTTGTTGGGTCTGCTGAGCGGTAGTCAAGGCCTGAACCTGACTCGCTAGAGCCTCCATCTGCAGTTGGATCTGCGCGGCTTGCTGCTCCATCTTCTTCTCTGCACTTTGGTGGTCTCTCGTCTACCACCTCGTAGTGTTCACCCTGGCTTTGGCTCAAAGCCCCTTGGATTTGTTCACACAAGTCAAGAGCTTTGTTGAACTCTTGCTTGACTGTTGGAGTGAGCTGGCTCGCACGCGCGGGGACTTCCGCTGCGTACAGCGGAGGTGCGGCCAACTTCTGCAGCGGCTCCTTGGAGCTGCTTGCTGACGCCACGTGTGGCTGTGGGATGTCAGCTGTGTCCTTGCCCTGAAACACAGGGTCTGGAACGCAGATCTCAAAGCTCTCTTCACTTGAGATGTCAGCTTCCCAGTCAACCACTTCTATGCCTGCGTCTTGCAGGATTTCTATTGAGAGGCTTGGGGCTTCAGACGAATCAATCGCCTGCTTGGCTTCGTCCAAGTCCTTCTGAAGTCGGGCTCTTTTCCTTGCAGCCCTTGAGCTGGCCCTTTCAGCTTGTGGGACCAACTTCACCGGTGCTCGCTCGTCTGCTTCGAGTGCAGCGCGTCCCGGAGGCGGATCTACCCGCACTTCCCTCTTGGCCTCTTCCACCCTTAGGTTGGTCTGAGGCACGTCGGGTGCGTCGGGTGTTGACCCGATGTCCAGCGCCGAAGATGGCACTGACTCCGGCTCTGGTGCCGGTGGGTCTGGCTCAGCCGGAGGATCGGCTGGTGGATCGGCCGATGGGTCGGCCGGGGTTGGCTCAGCAGGTGGCGCGTCCGTGGACTGGCCTGACCCTGCTGTTGCTGCTGCTGCGTCTGCCGCGTCCCGTGCGGCTCTTCGCTCTTGACCCCTTTGGATCCTGGCCTCTGTCCTGGCCACTGAGCGATGTCCTCGCCGATTCCTGTCTTGGGTGAATCGACTGCTGCGAGATCGATCCGTGTCCGGTCGGCCTCGTCCCCACCAACTGTTGTCAGCGGTTGTCCCAGCGTCCCTTGTTGCAGGAGCTCTGGGTTCTTGCTGGGAGTAGTCTACCCAGCCACGGCTTGCCAGTCACGGTCGTCCCAAGGGGTCGACCTATTCCAGGATTCCCAGGTGTTATCCCGAGAAGCCGTTTTGTCTGGACTCTCCTACGCAGCCTTGGCCACGCTTGTCCTCAGTTTGGGCGGGGCTGCCCGCGGCCTTGGCCGGCGGAGCTGCCCGCTCTTTGACCTGGAGCGGTGGGGCTACCCACGCAGCTCCGCTACCATGCAAAAGCCGAGATGGTAGTGGTCAGCGTATTGGGCTCTCAACTTACTTACCCCGCTAGTCACACAGCTGCCACAACACAGTGGCACCTTTTACTGCCTTGACTGCACGGTTGTGGAAAAGAAGGGGCTGCGGTCATGAACTGCTGTCATGCCATGCCGTCTCTACCTAGTGAACTGCCTAGCTATCTAGCTACCTAATTCCTAGGTTTTACCCTTTGCAGTTTGCCACAACTGGAAGCGCAACAAGGAGTTTCAAAAGTGCAGATGCAAGTCTTACTCACATCTACAAGGAGGAATGTGCAAGATTTCTGACTGTACTCACTACATGGAAACGTTCAGACTGACTACATTCACAGACTGCATTCAGCTTGGATGACATTGCACAAATCGAGAAGAGACGTGTAGGAAACTTGGACCTCAGATGCATGAAAATCATAATGTATATATATCCTCAAGGCCTTTTGGCTGGAAAAAGAGTCGCTGCCTGCTTCGCATCAAACCATTTTGTGTTTGTCAAGGGTTTTGGATGGCCTTAAAATTGGTTGCACTTTACGTCACAAAAACGGATCCATTACGTGCATTTTATTAAGCAAAATGTTTGGTATACACTATTTTTCAGATTTTAATTCTTAATATCAGGACGAACCTTGCAGGAAGGGTCCAATCAAAGCGACATGATTTGATTGCTACAAAAGTCCACATTTTGCTGCAGCCATATTTCAATCCAGAAACAAAAAACACTTTGGTCAATCAAATTTTTGTCTTTGCCTCAACACCCCATTCTTTGCTTTGTTGTTTGCCAATTTGAAAAATATTTTTTCAGTTGTCATTTCGCCGGTGTTGTGATATTTTTATTGAGCAGAATAAAACATCAAAACCCATTAGATTTACTATGTTTGCACGGAAATCAAAACGGTATTGTGAAAGCAATAAAAAACTCCCATGCCTGCTGAATATATAGTTTACGCATTCTTTGCAGTTCGGATGACATGACGGAAGGGCAACAGACCGTTTGATGCTGAGATGGACGTATTTTGCCAGATTCGGGGTTTTCGACATGTTTGGGGACGAAACAGTGGAAACAGCATTGGCTCTTGCTGGATGCACTTGAGGTTTCTTTGAATTGGTCAGCAGGCCGGAATCCATTTGCACACAACCATTGATTGTTGCTGTTGGGTTTGCAGACGTTGCAGGTTCCAGTTCTTCCACCGAAGATGACGAGGACTCATTGATGTGTGCCAATGCATAAAACTTGCCGCGGATGTGGACCCATCGATGGCATGATTTTGTTTCAATTTTGAACCCATTGCCACAAAATTGTGAATGGCAGCAACTCGCAACAATTGTTTTTTTTCCTTGACACAAAAAACAATGGTCACGCAGGATGAACTATGTTGTCGAATCTGCCGTCAAGGAGAAGAGGCACTGGGAATGTGCGTTTCAAATTCTCGTTTTGTGACCGTTGTTAAAAACAAACATCCGTTGCATACGCAAGGCCGGCAAACTGTATTGCCCATGCAGATGTGCTGGGAGCATCAAATGGATTCACGGGTCTGTTCCCAAGCAACTGACGTGGGTGAAGATCCGGTACAGATTGCTTTGAGATTCCAGCATGCCGTCACTTTTTTTTTGTGAGTTCCCTGCCTACTTAGGGCTTGCCTGCAAGCTTGGCTGAAGAGCTATGAGCGGAAACCAGCAAATTTCTGAGACAATTCTGTTGTCGCACGAAACGGGTGCTATGCCATGCTATGCCATTCTATGCCGACAAACTGCAAGACATTCATCCACTGAGTCCAGCGAACCTGTTCGAGGCATGTGAATTGTGCGGTTATCCTTTCGATTTCATATCCGTAGAGACCTCAGTGGGGAAAACATTGGATGGTTCCATACAAAATCATACAAGCATTGGTTTTGTTGTTTTGCCAGGAGCAAAGATTTTGTTGAATTATTCAATGGGTTTGTCGGATTTTCCTTCAGTTTGTTTCACATTTTTCCCGAGGTTTATTCCAAGAACGCGCCTCACCAGCTCACTTTGGCCGATTGGGCGCATGCCTCAGAATTTGCGTTTGACCAAGGCCGATGAAGGCTCTGGGAATGCGGCGTAGTGGAAGTGGCAGAAGCTTCAAAGTTTACTGTGCCCATGCTTTATGTATTTGTCTATATTTTTCTGTGCTTTCTGTTTCAGGTAGGAGCCTTTTGTTCCTCTAGCTGGCGTGTGCGCAGCTTTTCTCCGAAACATGCGCTTGGGTTTTGGCAGATTTGCATTGCATTCTGCGTACAATGTACAATGTTCACCGAATTTTTGTTAACATTGGCATTATGAAGGTGAGCCACCGAGTGTTGCGAATACTCTACGCCCCTTGGTAGCATAATAGGTAAAATCACAGATCGGCTCAGGGAATTTGGAGCCGTGCATCACATTGGGCCCAGCTGAGAATCTAAGGCCATTGGCCTTTGGGGCACTCCAGCCTGTTTATTGCCTTCAGACCGCTAATGATCGGCGAAAACACATGAATGTCGGATAGTGACTTAATGATGTTAGTTGTCTGGGCGCATCTTCGCTAGTCCCCGCCAGGGGCGACTTGTGCCAGGCATAGTGCTGCCAATTCTCACCATTATGGCGACCCGCTCGATTTTTGGTCGGCGAGCAAGGCCCGAAATGTCGTACAATACAGAGCCCAAGTGGATCCAAGTGGATCCAAGTGGACCCAAGTGGTACATGACCTGTCGCATGTTTCTATTCTATTCCGAAAGAATGGGATTTTGGGATATTTTGGGCATTTTGGGCATTCGTCTTTGTATGATGTGACACTGTGTGACATTTCACAAAAACGTCCCTCTACGAAAGCATTGTCGCAGGCCTGAGCTCACTTCTGCGTGGCATGTTTGCAGACTCAGTGGACCTTGACTTCACATGACTTCACCAGTCGGATCTAAGAATCTATATGTATCTGTATATATATATCATGAAAGTCTGACAATTATCAGTGACATACTGGGTTCGTTCATTGGTTTCATTGGTCATGACAGTTCACCATTGGTCCATATTGGTCCTCTGACATTCGTCGTTCTGCGCAGACTGAGGTGTTGCCCTTGACCCTTGATATTTTTATTGGAGAGTGCTTATCTTTAGCAGGCAGGTGTCAGACACAGATGTACATCACGGATTCCGTAGTTGTTCTTTTGTCCAGCCTAGGACGTGCAAGCGGTACGGTATCCTTTGAAAAGAGCCGGATGGCCTGGAACATGACAGGTATAGCCTTCATCTACTTTCTGTCTTTTCTGACTGCAGTGAGCGCCTGAGCGTATGCTTTTGACGGAGTCATGCTCGCCTTGGAAGAAATGCAGCACTGTGCATCCTGAAAACATCTGCATGATGTCTGTCTTTGGCAATCAGACCTACCCTGAAGGTTAGAACAACCGTGTCCACCGATGGGAGGTCCTCGGAAGGTGCCGTTGACTTGTGTTGTTTACAAGCATTTGTCCACTTGCAATATATATATATATGGTCCAGCGTTCCAACCCCCCTCCCCCGGCCATGGTCATGGTTCAGTAATAGTACGATCAACTCCCACCATTTGCCCCGCGTCTGGAAGAGTTCGATGGGATCATCATCATCATCATCATCATCGTCATCATAACTGTCACCATCACCATCACCATCATCATCATCATCATCACCATCACCATCACCATCACCATCACCATCACCATCACCATCACCACCACCACCACCACCACCACCATCATCATCATCATCATCATCATCATCATAACCATCACCATCATCATCATCATCATCATCAGCAGAAGCAACAACATACAATGTGGGACGTGGTGACTTACACGCACTCCCAGGTCACCCCACCCCACCCCATGTGAGCGTAGCATCAATATCTGTAGCATCAGCATCATGTGCAAGGCGGAGGGAACGCGTAGCGTAGCATCAACATTTTGTGCACGTCGAAGGAGCGCGGTTGAAGGAACATTAACATCCCCACCCCACCCCACCCCATGTGAGCGTAGCATCAACATCTGTAGCATCAACATCTTGCGCAAGGTCGAAGGAACGCGTAGCTTAGCATCAACATCTTGTGAAAGGTCGAAGGAACGCAGTTGAAGGAACGTTAACATCCCCAACCCACCCCGCCCCACCCCCTGTAAGCTGTGGGGCAAATGGTGGGCGTTGCGTCTAATAGTACTAACCCCCTCCACCCTCTGTGGTGCGGTGGTGGGGAGGGGGGTGGGGGGGTATGTTGTCTCTGTGACATATGTCATGTATGCATACTATGCGTGCTATACATATGTATATATATATATATATCATATGTATATATCATATGCATATATCATGTGTATATCAGATATCATGTGTAAATATCATATATATATAACGATATATATATATATAAATATTTTAATAATTTTAATATATATATAACGAATATATATATATATCTATACATAACGATATATATATAACGATACATTTTTATAGAATGATACATAGTGGTATATATATATATACACATAATGATATATATATATATATATACATAATGATATATATATATATATACACATGAAAATAATTACGGTAAATGCCTGGGCTTTGCCCGGAGCCGCAACCACGACAGGCAACGCATCATCATCATCATCATCATCGTCGTCATCGTCATCATCATCATCATCAAACCCTTATTGAAGATTTTCAATGAATGTAGAAGTTAAACGGGGTTGGGAGAATTAAACCCTTATCGAAGATCTTCAATGAATGTAGAAGTTCAACGGGGGTGGGAGAATTAAACCCTTATTGAAGATCTTCATTGAATGTAGAAGTTCAACGGGGGTGGGAGAATTAAACCCTTATTGAAGATCTTCAATGAATGTAGAAGTGCAACGGGGGTGGGAGAAATAAGCCCTTATCGAAGATCTTCAATGAATGTAGAAGTTTAACGGGGGTGGGAGAATAAAGCCCTTATTGAAGATCTTCAATGAATGTAGAAGTTATACGGGGTTGGGAGAATTAAACCCTTATCGAAGATCTTCAATGAATGTAAGATTTGAGGGTGGTGGGACTTTAATATTCCCTAATACCTTTGTTGATCTTCCCCATTGAATGTAAAGTTGAACGCGGGTGGGATTTTAATATTCCCTAATACCTTCGTTGATCTTCCCAATGGAATGTAGAGTTTAACGGGGGTCGGATTCCAATTTTCGCTAATTCCTTTTGATCTTCCCAATTCAAGGTAAAGTTGCAACAACATTTGATTGGGAATGCGGACCCTCTACGCTGCAACGCCTGGGCAAAACCCAGGCGTTGCGCGTATATATCTATATCTATATCTGTATCTATATCTGTATCTATAAAATATATATATATATGTACAATGATATATATATGTATATATATACAATGATATTCACATATATATAATGATAAATACATATATTTCTATATTTAGAGTTATGAACAAATATATAAACAACGCGCATTTAATATATATGTCTATAATGATAAACACATGTGCATATTTAATGATATATATATATATGGTACCCTCCAAGATCCACGTTTCATGTCATTTTCATGGTATTTACAGTATTAAATGCTCATTTTTGGGCCATTTGATGCAAGGGGGTACCGCATATATATATATATATGTGAATGTTGGATTTAGGACTTAATGTATGTAAGTCTTGATACGTAGGAATACGCGTACGTACGGGTACAACCTTTTGGTTGAATCTAAGAATCCAAAAATCCAAAATTTGCACAAGACTCTTTGATTCTTGGATTCTTAGATTCAAGGGGCAGGTGGTACGCGTGCATACGCATATCTGTCTAAGTTTGACGCCTCTACATGAAAAGAGTCTCAACTTTCAATCGTTTCCCTAAACCTGAAAAAGGCAGTGAAACACTGCAAATTACTTTGCCACAAAAGACGATCAAACATGTTTTTTTTTTCAAGAAGTAATTCTAGTTGACAAGTGCAGGCTTTACAAACAAATACTTTCATTCAGAAGGTATAGCATTTGCTAAGCAAAACATATTATGCCCTTTCAATAGGTAGCATTCCTTTGTAGAAAGTCACTGTTTTTGAAAAAATCGCTCTTCATTTCGATCAGGTAGTGTTTTTCCCACTATGTAAATATGCATTGGTTAGTTTGAGGTACAACACTTCTGAAAGGAAGGAACATGGTACACAAAAAGTCCCTGCAAGAGGCATCTTTCAATCAAATGCAGTATCTCTTCAAACAAAAAACTATCTCCAAAAATGTAGCCATTACTTTGAAGAACATGCATGTTTTTCTTCAAGCAACACTATATTTATTGGAAAATTAGATGGAATTTTAAAGAACATGCTGCAAATGTGGCACAAATACTGCTACATTATGCTTCCTAGAGTCAGTATGCAATCATTTTTTGATAGTAATAGTGCATGCTTGGACCATGAAACATGTGAGCCGTCTTTTTGTTTAAACTTTTTGTTTAGACAAAAAACCTCACACATGTTACCTCCGTGAAATTAACATTGCCCCTTCTGAAGAAAAGTGACTTAGTCTATGCAGTATTCCTTGATAACAGTATATAATATATTTGGAAAAGAGTTGTAGTGTAGCATTATTTTTTTTCAATGTTCCATTGTAAAGAGTGATTCATTCCTCAAACACGATGAAGCATTCCTTCAACAAAATGCAACATTGTTTTTGCATAGAATGCCTCAATAGATGCAGCCGTACTTAAAATGGATGCAGCACTCTGTATTCTGAAAGAGGTGTAGAAGCGTAGCATCACTTTTCGCAAAAGTTCATTGAGTAGAGCAACACATTTCTGGAAAATACAGGGTGTCGTATTCCTTGAGAAAGGAAACTTTTGAGTACTCACTTTAGACAATGATTATGGTATTCCTTCAAGAAAATGTTGGTGCAAGTATGTGAAAGCCTCCTTCGCAAGGGAGTGAATTTGATTGAAGTTCATGTAAATACAAAGAAAAGCATCACTATGAAGTAGAACCCTTGGGTGTATGTCGTATTTTTGAAAGAAACAGGTCATGATTGTATGTGTGCAAGATACCCTTCCATATGAATGAAACATCTGAACAAAACAGGCATCATTATTTTGAAGAAGTGACGTTTTTTCCTTTCAAAGCAAATGTCATGCAAAGAATTGAGAGGGAGTCTGAACTTTATTAAGAGGCGTAGTTCATCTTTCCACATCTTGTATGTTTCTGCATACTGCTTCTTAAAGGAAGACCTTGTCTATTGGTTTGAAGAAGTGAAGTCCCTGAAAAAATGGGCATACAAGAAACAGAATAGGAAGGCTGAGCTTCATCAAAGGTTGTATTGCATTGTTCCACATATTGTATGGTTCTGCAGGAATACTACTTCTTACTTGAAGAAATATCATCAAGGCAGATTGTAGCCTGTAAGCAGCATGTTCCTTTAACAACACTCGTTTTTTTCCAGAAATGAAGCAATTTGCATCGACCATTACACTTTTAGACAGCAATACTGAATGTTGATCACACACTGCACATTGTGTAGAAATCTGGTGTATGATTGAAGGAAGGCTTGATATCGGTTCCTTGACACATCAATAACCGTAACAATTCACACAGGTGGACTTGGGGGGGGGCTAGCGGCTAGCATATATAAATATATATACATATATCATATATATCTTTATCATATATATACATATATCATATATATATATCATATATATATATATATCTCACATATATATATATATGCATACATATATATCATACATATATACATCTATATATCATACATATATACATATATACATACATTGTTACATATCATTTATCTATATATCATATATATATATATCATATATATATATATATATCATATATATACATATGCATACATATATATATATATATATCATACATATATACATCTATATATCATACATATATACATCTATATATCATACATATATACATATAAATCATTTATCTATATATCATATATCTATATCGCATATATATATGCTATAAATCTATATCATATATTACACTAAATATTTGGCGTATATATATATATGATATATCTATATATATGTATATATCCTATATATATATGATATACATACATATGATATATATATATGTCATGTATATATGATATATATATATGCCATATATATATATTTATGATATGTATGATGTATATACATATGATATATATATATATATATGATATATATATATATATATATAAATGATATATATATATAATATATATATACATATGTAACATGATGTAATGTGTATATATATATATGTATATATGTATATATGTATATATGCATATATGCATATATGCATATATGTATATATGTATATATGTATATATGTATATATGTATATATGTATATATGTATATATGTATATATGTATATATGTATATATATAGTATTTGAGGGAGTATGTGTACTATGTAGGTCGTCTAAATGGTAGCATATATCTAGTAAATACGAGGCTGGACCTCAGAAATGCTGCAAATAGCTTGCAAATAGAAGGACCTATACCATTGGGGGTGCTACATGGGGACTGATGGTATGGGGGTGGGTGGGTAGGAACACGGAACACGAGACCATAATATTATCCATTTTCCTTTCTCTGTGCCTGACGCAGACCCAGTCTGTGTACTGCAAAACGCATGGACTGAAGGCAGCTCCCAAGCGGCAGAGGGGGAGGCATGATTTCCCGGTTTCTCCCAAGCTTCCAGCTTCTGAATATCGAAAGCACTAGTCATTAATCTGTACTCATGCAAGAATCTGATTGGAATCAGATTAGAACTGTTGTGTGTGTTGTGTGCAGGCCAGATACGTTAGATGAGGTAAGAAATGGTAAGGAATGGAAAGAAATGGTAAGACATGGTAACACTGTTGAGACACTTCAAGGCCTCTTCAGCTGAGCCCAGTTCGTCCATCGGCAGTCAGGCAGTGACATGGAACAACAAGTGCAGTCATCGAGCAATACTTGGTCCAGTAAGTCCAGTACAAGCTGCCAGGGAAGTAATAAAAAAAAATGTGTCCAGATTTATTAAAAGTATTCCACATCTTGAGACAGTCCGTCAAGACCAAGATGTGAACCACTTGGCACAGGCTGAGCCCAGGCAACGGCTGAATGAAAATGACCCAGAGGAGGAGCCAAAGCAAAGCGTGAACTACTTTTAGCAGCCTTGAACCCTTGAACTGCCGTGCACGAAGCCTTGACAGGATCTGATGGTCATCATGGGCTTATCTGGGAATCCGGTATCCTGCCTGGAAAACTTTGCACACAAGTGACAGCAGTGCATGCTTTCTGAAACTATGACATTTCCTGCTCATCCTTGCCAGAAGTGAAGGTGCGCTCATTCTTGAGCATGTTGATCTTCCTATCTGCGAACATTGCTGGTGTCTACCTGTTCTTGGTGCCTTTGCTCGCTTGAATAGAAAGACAACCGGTATCAGCTCACCGCAACGTCAGCAAAGTCTGAGACCAGACTATTATTGACTCTGCAATAGACTAGCGAGAGAGAGAGATAGATAGAGAGATAGAGAGATAGTCCTCAAGATCTTGACACTTCTTAGTTGAGCTTCAAGAAAATGGGATGCACTTTTCCTAAACAAGCAAACAAACCAGGCAAATTGAGAAAAGAGTAATTTTACAAGCCTATACAAGTACGTGTTTCTGCTCGCAGAAAGACTTGGCCATCGTTCGGTCCCATTTCTTTGTGACATGGACTTGATTTCACCTTTTCCTTTCTGAATCCAGTACATTCCTGTGAAAAGAATTGATTTCAGGTGCTTAGCAACATGTCAAGCAGCATGTAAAGCAACATTGATTTCTGGCCAGGGTATTCCTTCGTTCCTGGGTAGATGGACACTACGCTCCGTGTTCGGGCCTTTTGAAGTGCATCGATCTATCAAGGGAGGAAGAGTTGAGATGAGGACACCAAGGATTACTGTGTTTTCACCATATTTTTCACCATTCAAAATTTGGTGTGGTGAGTGCTATGGCATTATGGCACTATGGAACATTATGGAACTAGATTCATCAAACTTCACAACGGAACTGTGGATCAAGGCTACCCTGGATCCAGGCGCTATGTCCGCAATGTGTTACACCTTGCAGCACCATGGTGCCATGGGGTGAACTGAGCGCAAAACACTGAAGGTTTCCTATTCAACACATTTCAACAGTTTCAACACTTTGCAGTTTGCATATAAAAAGGGGCCCTCCACAAACTGAGCCGTGAAGCTGGAGGCAATATCGCCAGACGTTGTTGCAGTTCTGCTGTGGCTCGAGCCTTTTGATGAATGGTCATATCAGAAGGGACCTTCAACTGGTGTTGAGGAAAACAACAAATATCTCAGATGAGATGATATGAGTGGTGACGGTTTCATGTTGCAATGGTAGAGAGCTCGGAGAGCATCTTACATATATTATATCATATACACACAGATAGATACACACATATATATATATATTCATACATCACATATTTTGCTTTCCCGAACCAAGGTCTTCCAGTGAAACGGAACTCTCGCGGTCAAGACCGGCAGACCGCCAATTTGTCTCCGGCAGGTGAGACAGCAGCCACGTATTCCGCATATATCAAGGATCTGGACCAATTACTGCTTGATGCTTCTTGTACACTGCTCACAAGTTTGCTATCTCTATCGGTCTTTTTCATCCATGTGATACTCATGATAGTCCATTTTCAGACACAGATGTCGCTGCGCCTCGAGTTGTTTCCAAACTGTCTGGGAAGGCCTGTTGTGCTTCCTTCAGCTGGAGCAAGTGTGCTTCTGGACTGTATTGCATTCAGTGCATTCAGTCTTTTTGATTTGATTGGTTTTGCAGTTTTGCCATGTTTTGCTACACTGACATCCGTTCCAAGAGCGTTGGGACTTGTCAGGACATGCTCGGACTTGCGATGGGGTGGTTTCCTCAGCACTTTGCATTATAGAACAAGCGCTGCTGTTGGTAAGCTTCCGTCATTTCCCAGACCTGCCAGACACTCTCCCAGGTACTTCGTTGTGGCCTGCTGTGCAATTAGCTTTGTAGGAGACTTACTGGCTGCAGTCGAGTGTCAGTGATGAACACAGTCTTGTGAATTGAAAGCAGAAATCTGCAGCGGCAGTAAATTAAGCAACTTCCAGGAGACGTTAGTGCAGTAGTGCAGTAGTGAAGCTGGCTTTGCACAAGATGCTTTGCGAATCCGGTGTCGCAGTGTTTGAAAACGCTTCCGAGGTTCTGGTCATGCTTTTGCTGGGAGCTGCAGCTGGCTACAATTCCAGAAGTTGGCAGGCTCCGATTAAATTGAAACGGCTTCACCGATGCTTCACCGATGAATCCGATGTGCCGTGAGTGTTCTGTGGTCAGAGGCTCTCAGAACTTTGATGAATGTCGCAGAGACTCAGCTCTGCAACTTCGCCTCAGAGGGATGGTTTGCTGCCTAGCACTGAACATGGGCACTGCAAACAAATACACACAGGGATGTACTTCAAGAATTTGCCAGAACAATATACCTTCTTTTACCGAAGATGAGTTCATCCTTTGCATGCAGGTGTATTTCTGCAAGTTCGTTCTTAACTTGTAACCATTGAGTCATTGAGATATATTGAGAGCCCTTTTACTGGATTTGGTCACTGAGGTGGAGGTTTCAGCGTCTCACCGTTGCGATTCTGCAGTGGGTGTACATGGCTAAGTTTGAATTCATTGTCAATCAAGATCAAACACTAAAAAGTTGAACTTGTGTCTTCTTCACATGTCCGATTGAAACGTGCCCTAGCTGAGGGTCTTCCCGGCCTACGTGGGGCATCTCGTCTTGTGCTTCCTTTGCGGCCCAGTGCTCTACCAGGGTCAGTGAACACACAGTGCTTGACACTACTATATAACTTGTATAACTCTTTGATTGGTTTCGAGTTGCGTTTGCAGAATCCCAAAGTTGTATACGATTGATGATTGATGTTAATTAATCATTCATTATTGTAGCGATTGCAGTGCAGGTACTTCACCTTTCTCAGCAGTCGAGGGCCTCCATCATGAACTCCAACCCTCTGATTTCATTTGTCAATGCCTCACTCCGCTCCATGCCACATTTTGTGCACCTTTTGTGCCTCCAAATGTGAACATTTTTTGATCATCTTTCGGATCCTTCTGGAGGTCATGCAGCTTTTCATTGGCTACGTGCATCTTTGGGGCTTTGCCTTCATGGAAGGGTGCATTGCGAGTGCCCCCTGGCCTGAGATTTTGCATTGCCAAGAACCAGAAACATCAGAAACTCTTGTTAGGTACTCGGAAGAGAGCGCAATATCACTTGAATGTACTTAGATTCAACTTAGATATCACATGATATCACTATTGAATCACCTTGAATCACATTCCTCGAGGAACTCTTAGAGCTGAAGAGATGGCAGGATGTCTCCAATATTCTCCAATAGTGAATGTGTTAATGCAGGATAGCACCGTTGACATCTCTTGACCCCTTTGTCATTTTGTCTCTGCGGCTCCAAGGTTTTAGTGCCAGAAGCTATTCAGTCCACTGCACAGTCAGTTAATGGTGCAGGATGGAGTACAAATCCGACAAAAACAGGACCAAACAGCATTGGTTCTGCTCGCCAGAGCTTTGATGTGAGGCGTGCATCCGTGAACTTCTTCGTTGGAGCCATCAATTGCCATAGGCCTGTGGAGATTTGATACGACGAAACTTCATGGAATTATTTCCATGGTATTGTTTTAAACAGTTTTATGTGTTGTTTTAATGCATTTGCATCCATGCATAAGATATTGTTATCGTTTCCAATATATGTATATATATAATATAATATAATATCAATGTTGATATTGTTTGTGAAACATGCCAGAAAGGGTGTACCGGCATCCTTCAAAAGCTAGTAGCAAGTCAGGGTCAGCACACATGCTGAAGATAAAAATCGAGTTTCGTGAATCAGTTGCACCGCATTGGCCGTTTGGCAGGCGCTTATTTGGCACCATGAGCGAAGATGCAGGCGGCGACAGTGACAGGGATCTAGATCAAAAAAAATATTATTGGCATCAATGTGTATATATATATATTATATGAATCAAACAATTTAGGATCAAAAAAGTATTATTCCAGGAATCAATAGAAAGAAAGACAGAAACCTTAAATGAAACCTAAATGAAACTCTAAATGAAACCCGAAACGGAACCCTAAACGAAACCCTACATGAAATCCTAAATGAAACCCTAAATGAATTCCTAAATGAAACCCTAAATGAAATCCTAAATGAAACCCAAAACGAAACCCTCCATGAAACCCTGAATGAAACCCTGAATGAAACCCTTTATGAAATCCTACATGAAACCCTAAATGAAACCCTAAATGAAATCCTAAATGAAACCCTAAATGAAACCCAAAACGAAACCCTAAATGACACGTTTTTTTGATCTCCAGAGAATATTTTTTTGATCCTAATATTACTTTTTGCTTGATCCGTTATCCCTGCGACATGCCATAGAAGAGTCAGTGTCACTGGAGAGTGGCCAGGCACAGGCACAGCAGACTCTCTGCAAAAACCTCAGACACTGCCACGGTGACGCCACGGAATCCCACAGAGTCGGAAAGTTCGAGAAAGTCCGGCTCTCCAAGGCCCATGCCCCCGCACTGGGCCACGCTCAAATTGGCCTTGGTGCACGTGACACGCCTAGAAATAGAAGAAATGAATCAATAGATGAATCAAATTATCACCAGAGGCCTCAGTTCAGAGGTGAAATCAAGCTGGAATCAGACAGAAAACATGATAACACTGCAGGTTGCCGTGCACACGCCTTTGGTGTTCACAGTGTGGTACCTACCAGCCTATTTGCTTGACAGGCAGCGATGCCTTGGGAACGGATGTATCAAGAATCGTTGCTCGATCTATGACAATGGATTTCACTATGTTTCATGTGCAGGCTTCTTGGGCAGTCTTTGTTCCCAATGTTGCTGGTGGACCATTCAGGCATGGTTTGATCCAGTTGATGCGATATCATATTTCAGAGACCCTGTTCACCAGGCGAAGTCCTGGAAGGCTTGCACAGGAGGGATCCACTTTTCCTTTCCAGCTGCGACCCGAGCGTCTAAGGCTGTGGCCTCTCCTGTGGGTGGATTCCCTTGTGGATGGTAGTTGGGCGGAAGAAAAGAGTTTGAGCACCAAGGTTCGATGGCTTCGGTACGATCCAACAGCAGCTAGTTTGCACATAGAGTCTCGTGAGTGCAACTCATTATGTTTTACCAGGGGTTTTGCAGTTTTTCGAGTTTTGCTAAATGATGCTGAGAATCCCGTGACAGTCACTGTGGTGAAGGCAAACCGGCCGTTGGGGAAGGGCAGTCCTTGTTTGTCTTGGAGCTCTTGCAGCTTTACGTGCTGGTGCTTTTCCCAGCATTCTTGAAATGCAAAATGCTGCGAGACTGGTTGGACTGTTGGTTTCTCACCTGCATCGACGCCTGGTTCTCACTTGGTTTGACGATTCTCACAACTTGAGAGCAGAGTGTAATTGCTGGAGAGACTTCTGCAACTTGAATTTTGCATTCTGCGGCCTTTGCTGCATTCGAGCCGAGGTGCTCCAGTGCATACGAATACTAGAGACTTCCCCTGTGATGACGAAGCTGATTTCTGCGCTGTGCGACCCTTGATCTTAAAATTCAAACGACTGGCCATTGGGTAGGCAGGGATTCCCATTTTCAGCTCTGCTTAGCGAAAACTGAGGCTGCGATGTGGATTGCGTTTTGTTGGACTTGGGCACCTATTGGCAGAGGGCTCGGTAGGTTGGAATTTCTACCTGTTTCTTCACAGACATGGCAAATCACAGGGCCAAACTGGGCCTTTAGCCTTGACCACCACTTTTGGCCACAAAGCATACCGGTAAGGGGTATGGCCACTGCTGATCATGTCGCTGCACCTACGCCTTCATTCTTTTTATCTTTTCATAGGCCTCGCTGCTATCAAGGTCGGCGAATCCGAGTCTAGTGAGTCGACTGAAGAACCCGAAGAGCTTGCAGCGACAAGATGTACGGGCAAGGCGTGATCACAAGATTTGATAAGATTTGGCTATGACATGCTATGACCATGACTCCTTTAAAACGAGCATGTCAGTGGGATTGCCCGGGAAATGAAGGCGATTCTGAAGAACAGCTGGATCCACTGGGCAACCAAGCGTGGCAAAATCTTGGGAGTTGGAGACTGAGAGAGCAATTGAGACATATTGAGACAACATCTCAAGAAGGCCCAGCACAAGAGGCTTTCTGACTTGGACTTTTAACTTCTTAGATCATCTCATTGGATACTTAGGTCACCAGCATGCTGATTCTGTGCTGCTGGTCAGTCATGGTTGCGGCCCTAGTTGGGGAAGTTCTGCACTGTTGCTTTTGTAAAAGTCACACAGACGAAGATTCAGCAACACGACTAGGGTCAGAACTGTCAGAACGGCAAATCGCTTCTTGAGACAAGGCCCTTGTCATGGCTCTTCCGCTAGCTCTTGGTAGGCTGGGTCCCTGAACCTACCGATCCACCCCTCTCGGATGCAATCCAAGAAACAAGAATTGCTGTTTGCGCGTAGCCATCTTACGAATCCTCGCAGTTTGTGTCATCACCCAAGTGCTCCAGGCTTATCGTCCGGTGCATTTTGTCCTCCCAGGTGCAGAGTGCCAAACACGAAACAAACAGAATGAGAGATGTCATTTCGCATCAGGATGCCGTCAAAACGCCAATCTGAATGTCACTGCATTCGTGCTTGTGCAAGTGTGGCGCTTTGTCAAAGGCCAAGCAGATCTCGGACTTTCTTCCGCTGAGACTTCCCCCCAGATCAGCTTTGATGGCTCGATGCAACAACTTTGTGGTTGGTTTTTAAAACTCATTCTTCATCGGACAATGCTACGATCAGTAAGATCAAGGTATGGGTGTGGTCGTAGCATCTGCTTGGATCCTCGTCATGGTGAAGCTTGGCGAGGCTCCAACCCACACGTTGCCAAAAGAAAAAAACAGAGCAGCAATCGCTCCGAAATCACAGACTTTCACATGCAAGAGAACGGTCTGGAATTGTCACAGAAGTCAATTAGGCACTTTGTTGGAAAGCCTAAAAAGTTGTGAGGCCCTTCCCAGAATCCTGGAGCAAGCCTCGGCACTGAGGAGACGAAGGCATAGAGGGTATCATTTAATGAAGTATTTTTTCTGTGCTCCGCTGCACCGCTGCACACTGGTAGCTCGGCAAGGGCCTGCTGCTTCTGTGCAGTTCTGTGGTCAGGTGTTTGCACATCATCACCTGCGGTTTCTCTGCCTTCGGCATGGCGGTTGCTGTGCTCATGCCTCGGACATGGCTGTTTGGCTACTGTGTTCACCTGCTTACAGGACCTTCAACATTCATTTTCTGCAATGAAGCGCAGGTCAACATTGTTCGATGCTTGCATTTATGCCGAGCCATTGGCTGCTTAAAATCAATGAGCAAGTCTCATGGGACACCATGGGATGAACCGACATGAGGAGAATAGAAAGCGAGCACATTTGGATCCGTGCATTTCGCCACAACCGCATAACTTTGAAATAGAGAAGTGCTTCCAGCACTTGATGATCTTTACATATCTTTACTTTTTCTTTACCTCCCAAAGGTTAGAAGTTTTCTATCTATTTGGGGGTGGCTATATGGTTTCACCAAGCCAAGCAGACCAGGATCAACTTGATTAAGCTCCATGCTCTCGAGCACCAGAAATTTCATCCACAGAAAACATGGTGCCATACCGGTGCAATTGTAGCATGAGGGGAGCCATGCTGGGAAGCAGTGCTGTGCGGACAATCTGTGGAAGTACTGGCTTTTGTCTCAGATCATCAATAAATTGCATGTTGCATTCATCGTCTGACACTTGAGGATGTTGAGATCAGTTGATAAAGCTTCGTGCATGGAAACTGACACACAACCCTGAACAGTGTATGCAACCTTCAGGCCCTCTGAAGCACGTTTCTGCCTCGCAACACCTGATCCAGCGCAAGGCCGGATTCATACGAAGCATGCAGACATGCTTGCAAAGGGCACTGCATGTTGCATGTATTCCGCAAGGGATGGTGAATTGCCCTTCCCTAGAAACATGTCACAAGTTCTAGTTTCCTGTCTGCAGCTTGCCCAGTGGAGGTTCATACCATTCGCTGCCTTTTTGTACCTCTGGGTGTTTCCTGCAGTACACGGTCAATTGATGCAAAGAAACAGTCGATAACCACATTATTGCAGGCTTCAGAAAAAGGCATTTGCAGATCGGACTTTTGATACACAGCCTACAATAGAATCAGTAGATCCTTTTTTGGCCTTTCGGCCCATGTGTAGGCATCGCCCAATCTACCAAGGGTATTGTTTCTGAGACGAATGACAGGCCAGATCTGGAGGCTGTGGTTCTTCAAGAAGCTTCTTCTTTCAGAGGTCGCAGGTGCAGATTTGGAACCATCATGAACCATCACTCTTGTTTGATTTTAGTTTCAAGGTCATTGGTGTGACAATTTTGCCTTCTATCGAATCAGTGAAGTTTTTGTTCTTTTTGTGAGAAACAATTTTTGTACTATTTGTATCTATTTGTACTGGTCAGCTGGTCAGCCGGAGTGACCCCTGCTAGGGTGCCCTCCTTGGCATCAAGGGCTTGGAACGTGCAGAGAACTTTCCTGCACTGGCGCGAGAAGCGGTTCAAGAAAGCCGTGAACGATTGACGAATCTGGAAGGATGCAGTCCTGGTGAGCTTGTTTCTTTGGTGGATGGAGTCTCCAACAGCCTCTGCCAAATTGCGGATGCAGCCGAATTGGTGCGCAATGTTCACCCACAAGAAGCGTATGTATCCAACGCATCTTCGGCAGTGCAGGAGGTAGCAGGTTTCATGAGTGAGGTGAATCTTGACATTGGTGTCTACGAGCCCATGAAGAAAGCGGAGGCATCAAGGGAGTTCGAAGAAATGTCTCTAGAAGCACGCACGGTTCTGCATCACATGCGAATCTCAATGGAGCACGAGGGCATTCACTTACCAGCAGCTGAGAAGACAGAGTGCATGGAGCTCTTGGATTCTGAGCAGCAGCTGTCATTTGAAATCCTCAACCGGCAGGAGCAATTGCGACACCAAGCATCCGAGGAGGGGGCATGGGTGCCCTTGGATTCTCTGGAGGGTTTTGGAGATCTAAGAGGGCACATAGGAAGACTGCCACGCCGCAAGGCCAGCCAAGAAGAGGTCCTTATACCGAGAGATTCGGTGCTTGCGGATCAGATTCTGAAGACCGCCCCCAGCCCCGAGGCAAGGCAAAGAATCCACGAAGCTCAACAAAAACGTGATGCGGTGGGAGAGGAGCACATGGTATCCTTATTGGCAGTGCGGCAAAGACTGGCAAAGCTACGTGGATATGAAAGCTGGGCGCACTGGGCCCAAAGAGATGCTTTGTTCACTTCGCCACAAAATGTTCAAAGCTTCTTGGATTCTGCCTGGCAACGTCTCAGACCTGGCCTAGAAGCTGAGCTGCATCTTCTTTCAGAGGAGAAGCAGTCTTTGGGGCAAGAGAAGGACCTTCATGCTTGGGATGTCCCGTACTTCTTGCAAAGATGTAGACAAAAGCACACAGAGGCTGATGAGATCTCAGAGTTCTTGACTTACCCAAACCTCGTGAAGGGTGTTGAGCTGATTCTTTCGCGCCTACTTGGCCTTAGCTTTACACAGGAGGAGCCAGAAGCTGGTGAGCTTTGGCATCCCTCTGTCCAAAAGTATGCCATTCGCGATGAGAAGCAGATCCTGGGAATTTTGTATTTGGACCCATTCCAACGGCCTGGGAAGAGAATTCAATCTGCACAGTTTACACTGCAAGGCTCCAAACTTCTGGATGATGGGCGTCAAACTCCAAAGACCTGTTTGGTCTATGCACTCCCGCCTGCAGTGGGTAGGCTAACAGCCAGCTTTGCGACAACTTTTATGCATGAAATTGGACATGCTGTCCATTCCCTGTTGTCGGAGACGCAGTTTCAACACCTTTCAGGTACACGTGGGACGATTGACTTTGTGGAGCCCTTGACAAAACTGGCAGATTTTAAGTTCCAAAGAGGGTCAGAGTTTATATTTGAGTGTGTACTCAGTCTACTCTAGAAGGCATTAATTCAGCATCCCTCCGACTCCACGCTCAGGAGTTCCCATCTCATTTATTTGAGCACTTTGTGATGGACCCGGAGAGTCTGGCAACATTTGCTGCTCACAACAGCACAGGCAGGATATGGAGGATATGGAGGATATGGACTTGAGATGACTTGAGATGTTTTGAGCAGTTCCCCGTTCAATGTTCCTCACACGTATGGGGATGGGATGGGTCAGTCATGGGCCCTTGGAGGTGAAGCGTTGCCAGTGCGATTGCGTCAAGCACACCGCCAGCATCCATTTAGCCATTTCGAAGCGGTGCAGCAGCTCATGTATGTTGCTTGACATTAAAATGGTACCAAAGTTGACTCTTTGCCCTGTAAAGTGCTGAAAAGCATCTACATACTGTACTATTTAGTATCTACTTGTGTCATAAATGGTGATGGCGTATGGTGCAAGCTCCACGAAGGCTGCTGCAGATCAAGCCTTCTTTGACTTTCATCCTTCTGCAAGCGCAGAAGAGCAAGTGCCCCTAGTGCATCAACATCTCCGGGACTCGTGCTGGCCTTAGGTCAAGTGGAACTTTTTTTGCTGGAAAACTTCAGTCGACACACTGTTCTCACTGCAGCGGATACTTTTCATGGTTCAAGTTGTGTTAGGTTTTCGAAATACGAGCTGGACCTAGCCGCTTGACAGTGATCCCTTCTCCGCAAGCACAGCAAACAAGGGTAGACATTTGATGGCTGTTCATATTTTGGGGCATGCATTTGTTACAATCTATGGTAGGTTGATTTTTACCGGCGATGTTTTTCCGAGGGTACTTTCGGGCCCCTAATACGGTATACAGTATACATTCTATATTTAAGTAGACTAGTTCATACTAGTTTGATTTTTATTACATTTCGTGTACAAGGCTTTGGAGCTAATCCCCAATATTTGGCATAAATCCTCACAAAAAAGATATACATTTATCTCAAAACAATTTGTACACAAACATGCAGCATTTAGATTTGGAAGGTAATCCCCAAGAATTCTTTGGGTTCTCCTGCTCACAAAAAAAACTAATGAATATTTTTCAAGGATGAGGGTGAAAGTGAACTTTCCAAATTGGACTTATTGGACATCAACAAACGAATCGCACAACTGGTCCGTCAATACCAATGATATTGTATTCGGCATCATCAAGGAACCTTTAGGAAAAACACATATCATTCTAGTTCCAGATGTGTGACGGCAGTGATGATTCAGTGATGCTTCGTTGCACCCTCTGTACATGTGGCTGCCAGTCAAGACTGAAGTCCCACAACAACATTGAGTAAAATATCCCAACATAAACTGTTGCATTCACCTTCTTTTGGTCTTCATAGGGTTTTGGCACTCAGCGCAACATGCCACTGTCAAGGATGGACCCTACAAAGGATCCCTCATGGAAATGCGCTGACCTTAGGGCCTCAGGGAATGCTGCCAAATTCCAAAGCTCTAAGGGTTGTGCGAACACATACAAACACTTTAGTGAGGAAGATATCCCAGGTACAAACATGTCATGACAAAAGCAAGCGACAAGAAATCTGGAAACCACTGGCGAAATGTTGAAATGAGCACTAAGTCATCAAGGATTTGCAAGGACTTGTTGCAGACTGTTGAAATGACTCAACGCTCCATACGCTCCATACCTTCCCAGGCTGGGCCTCTCAACGCCGTCACGTTTTGACCACTTGATCCACTACGGTGGCTCATATTACTGTTATCTCTTTAACAGAGTGCTGGCCTCACCTCGTTTTGACTCCGCACTACGAAACGTGTTGGACAGAAACTGGGTTGAGGCCCTGGCTGCACATGTTTGGCGACAAAGTTTCGAAGCAGATCCCTTCAACCCAGAGGTTGGCGTCCGGCTGCGAGGCTTGGTGCTCCAAATTTCCAATGACAATACTTACAGCATCTGATAATTTCACGATTCGGCTATACTATACTCTTGATCATAGCTGCTACAGGACTGCTGCGGCAAGGCCGGGTCTCATTTCCGACAGAGTTGAGCAGATTGGAAGTGTGTGGAAATTGTGCGTTTCCGTTTTTTTTCAAATGCGATCTCCCATTTTTCCTATTTTTCCCTAGTGAATTTCCTGCTTTTGTCCCAATTCAGACCTCGGCTCGGCTCGGGTTGTGAGTCCTCAGGTTCTGTGGTGCAAACCTTGGATGTCATCAGAGAGCTTCATGGCGATGCCTTCGCAGCACATGAAGTACCCTTGGATGCCATGATGGAGTCACTTGGCAAAACATGGCTAAACCGAATTGAAAAATGGAACAGATCTGTCAGGTCTGTTTTTTATTAAATCATGTTTTATCAATTTTTATCCATTTTATCCATTCCTTTGCAAGTTGAGAACCTCTTCCAGTGCTCTTCGACGCTTGCATGCTTGCTCCTTGGTGAGGTTGTCTCATTCAAGAAGTGGCTGAGCAACCAGGAAAAAGAGCGCCTGCTTGGGAGATTTTGTCAGAGCATTTTATCATGGGTTTGTAGCTGGGTAACCTGAAGCAAGGAAGAGTCAGAGTAGGTGAGAGGTTTGGAATGGCTCATGACAGTGATGACATGCCATTGCTCTCTGCCGAGGCTGCTTGTGCTGCCTTTAGGATTTGGGACACTTTTGCTCAGGTGCGGCATGACCACTTACGAGCCTCTGAAAGCAGTTCACAAGCGGATGATGTTCATGCATTTTTGCATTTTGTTTTTCTTTGTCCTCTTCCGAACACGTGCTGTAGCAAAGCTTTGTCAATTCGCATCGCCTGTTCCAGGCTGCTTCTTCCTTTGAAGGTGCAGTCCGTCCTCCAGGTTCGGACCATGATGTTTGCATCTTCGCTGCTGCGGATTTGCAATTGGGCATGTCTGAACATTCATCTCTTCTTGCCTTAGCTGCTTTGGGCTTGCAGCCGTAGCTCGACAAGCACACAGAACAAAGCATTGACATTCAAAATCGCTACAAGCCAGCTTCCAGCTTAAATTCAGAGCTGGTTTGGTACAGAACCATAGGTGTGCTACTACACTGGTGAGAAAAGAACACACGTTCAGCCAAACCCGTTGTTTGTGAACGCTGACATCACACATAAGAGAAATGCCAGCTCAAATTATCATGGATTTTTGAAATCACGGCCTGTGTGGCTGTCTACAAGCCGAGCCCGGAAGCCAGGCACTACGAGTGATGTGGTCACCGGGCAGATAGCTCTGCTCTTCAGAAGCCCTACTTCCATTTGTATACGATGTAGATCTATGTAGAAACTTGTATAGATTTATGTAGTGTCTATAGTATAAGTGATATACAGGATATACATGGTGGAAGAACAGCCTTCGCCTTCGCAGCCTTCGCTCATGCCATGACTTTTGCGTTTGGATGATTTACTGGGTTGCTGTCGCTGCAGCAGTGGCGGCGCTTGCCGTTGCAAGTTGTGGCCCATCAAGCTACATGTGGCTGTGATGGTCTCGGAGAACATAACATCAGTGACATCAGCGCTCGCTGGAGAATACAGTTGCTGAATGTTGCTGGTGTGCCGTCGTGGTTCAGAGTTTGTGAGTGCTGCAGGTCAATCTTGCTTGCTGCACCATTCCTGGCCATTCTAGTCTACCGGATCGAGGCGCTTTGTCAGAAGGAGGAAAACAGAGGAACATGTGGAAAACCGCACCAGGACGATTGTGGAAACAGGGTGGTCTTAAACTTACAGGGCTGATCCAGGGACCCTGATGCATGGATCAGCGGATATTAGGAATGGGGTGTGGAGGGGAGAGCGAGTTTGCTTTTCGTCTAGAGACCATGGACCGGCCTTGCATTGCACTGTAGGGATGGGTATCGGCGACCGTCCATGTCAAGTCGGCTGATGCTTTTGTGCTGCGAGGCATTCCGACATGGAGCCACTGCCTTCTCAAAATTGGCACGGAGCCACTGCTCACGCTACCTTCCACGAGGGATGCTTCTTGGCGATGCCAAATCAACAGTCTTATTTTTGCTTTGTCAGCGTGCCACGTGACCGCAAGCCAATTGCCAGAAATGAGGCTCGCCCTTTTCTTGGGTGGTACCTTGGCTTAATTTTCAGCCCTGCATGTTCGGCCGATGTCCTTGCAATGCAAGCTTGTTACAGGCAGACAGAAAGATCTAGGATGCATCGTGTATATATACATATATTATATGGGATTTGAACAGACAGCACGACCTTTTCAAGTTTAACATGTTTTCTCCTTACTCTTTGCCTTCCAGCCTGGCTTCGTAGGGCCGTGGTCTCAGCAAAATGCCAGGCATTTGCCTGACTGGTGCTCCTCACAATGCCGGAGGTGAGTGTGCTTGCCCCATGTGCCAAGGTTGCTCCGAAAGCACCATCATGCCTCAGAAATAAAGAGCTTTGTTGATCTTCTCTGATGTGTTTTGCCAAAGTGGATGTCCTTCAATGCCTCAGGTTTCTTTTGAGCCTTTGGCACCGAACATATCTGGAAACAGCAAGATGCTGCAGAAGGACTGTGCTGAGCCAGATGACAATCTTCTGAACCTTGATGGTTTGTAGGCCAATCTGAGTAAAACTCAGCCCGTGCAAAATGCTGTGTGCATAGACAGACTGCGAGAGGCCACAAAAAGTGCAGCAGGAATTGGCGGCCCCAATCTTGCCATGTTTCAATTAGAAAAGATGAATTTCTCACAATGAATTCTTCATCGCTTCCTACAATGATCACTCATGATTCCCCGGGATATATATATATATAAATATGTATATGTGTCTAATGATGTTTAATCGGATTTTGAGGGGGATGGATGGCATGCCAATCATCAACAATGGCAGGTGCCAATTGTTTTTCTGGTCACGGACTGCTGGAGTGTGGGCTTGATCCTCACAAAGGCACGCTGTGCCGCTGTGCCGCTGTGCCGACCCAGACTTATGCCGACGATTCCGAGCCGAGAAAGTACCCGTGGGCAGGTCTTGTGGCGATTGGTGCAAAGTGACATGATTATGCACAGCTTGCATCAAGAGCCGGAATCTAAATTTGGCATCTTCCACATAGTTTGATAAGTTTTGACTGTGACGACGGGATAGAACCATTATATATATAATATATACAGGCTGTGGAGATGGGTGTTCAATTTGTTCAATCGCCCAGCGGTGGCAGGTTGATTGCATACGTCAGTCAGCACAATATGTACAACGTGTTTTTAGACACGGTGACAGAACCAGATTGCCAAGGATCATGGCAGTGTGGAATGAGGCTCAAGGCGCTCGATCTTTCGTTTCTCGTTTCAGGATGTGCATTGTGCAGAAGCTTTCTTCCTTTCAGGCTCCTTGACCTACATATTCTTCAACTTGCGATCGCATTGGAGGATATGGAGGACATTTGTGCCGAAACCGGGAGGATCTTTGGACAGTTGTAAGCGGTTTTCAGCTCGTGAACAGCCAGGACTTCAGTATTGCCAATGCTGGAGGCACCAAACTCTGCCGTATAATTCTTTTTGACATGTTGCGACTGGTTTTTCTATACTGATACAGAGTTCAAAACTGCGCCAGCAGCCCGGAGTCGGTGTGGTTGCTTCATTTTCTCCCCAGAAGCTCCGGAGGTGATTGTGTTTCACTTGGTCTTTCCTCTTACAGTGCTCACCTCAGAGCTTCACTTGTCAATTCATTTCAATAGCTGCACTGTTTGGATCTGTCTGTTTGGATTGTGCTGCTTAATGTCAATGCTGAGGCTGCTCTGACTTTGCTTCAATTCGTTGGAGCTGGTCATGTTGGGACCTCTGGGATCAGGTTCATTTCATTTCATTTAATTTCATTTCATCCTTATTGATCTTATTGGATACATTTGATACATGACGAAAGGGCAACAAGAAATAACAAGAGGGAACGGAGGGCAATGGATGAAACGGACTGGATCGATCCTTGTTGCTTCTTGCTTCCCACGTGAGTACCAGATTGCTACTGATTCGCTGAGGAGTACCTCAAAGCTGCCCTCCTCATGTACTGCTATCACATAGTGCTGATTCTACGAATTACGTCGCTCCTGCCGATTGCAGACCACAAAAAGCTCGTTCACACACTTGAAGATTCCTGCCATCCCTGCAGAATCCGTGAGACTGGTCACACAAACATGAAGAGATGCACTTCACGCAGCATGAAAAGATATGAAAAGCATGAACTTATCATATTCTTATCATATTCTTATCATCTTATCATATCTTATCTGAGCTTCAGTCTGAGCTTCTCTTCTCAGTGGAGCTGCCAGGCTCTCTGCCCTACCGAGAGGGCGGACGTGGTTACGTGAGGCGAGATCGACTCTGCGAGATCACTTTAGATTTCAGATACAGCTGAGCTATACTTGGAATATGTTGGAATATCTTGGAATATGTTGGAATTGAACTCCAAGCTACAAAGCAAAGCTCATCACATCTCATGTCTCCAAGTGTTTTTTTTGGAATGGTCTCGAAGCTGATTCCTGGCAGGTGCGGCAACAAATCTTTGATAGCAAATATTTGGCAAGGTACTCAGAAATGGTGTGGACTTACCTTGCTGACTACTTGTCCAGCGACAAGTGGACGGCATAGAAACATTTTCATGAAATATCATGAATCATTGAATGCAACGTTGCATCCACACATTCCTTGAATTCGAAGGGAATTGGACACTTGCTGCCCTGCTACGCCGGCCTAAGATCTCGACTGAGCTGCAAAACTACCATCAAGCAGCAGATTCTCCAGAGGTCAAGGACAGAAACTTATAATCTTAGTAAGTCGAGCAGAAAGTCTTAGTATCATTATTTGAGTCCAAGCTTACGACAGCAGTTTTGTGAGGGATCTCAGATACTGGATCAGGAGGATTCGCAAGCAGAGCCTCCTGCGAGAGTCCTCCAACAAAGTACATAGTCAGCTTTGTCAATGCAAACCTATTTTCCACATGTAGATTCAGTTGGCTATACATTTACAGCATGGGATAGGCACTTTTGGTTTCCTTAGATTTCCCTCAGGTGCTCTCAAACGTACAAAGAGGTAGATTCCAGTGACTGTTCGTGTAGATCAGTCTCTGTCAACTTCAGACTCCGGCAGTTGGACAAAAGGTCCAAAGAGCACGTCGTGTTTCCAGATCCAAGCACTGCAAGTGCTTTGACACTCACATAATCACATACAGCATGGTTGAAACCCAAATAGCATGGCACTCTTTTGAGGGGCAAATGCAGCAAAGGCTGACTGCTTGCATTCTGGCTCAAGGGATCTTAGCTACGTGCCCCCATCGTGCTGCAATCATTTTGCTTGGCAAACTGCATTAAGGCGCAAAGTCTTCTGTGAAAGTCAACCACTTAAGACCACTTTTGTTCTAATCGCTTTGCAGGTGATGGCGCCAAAGCGAGTACAGAAGCCATCGCAGGCGGTGCATTGTCGAGATCGGCTACAGAATTTGCTCTTGACAGTGTGTGGTGAGGGAAAGCCGCCTGCCCCATCTCGTTCGAAGACGCAAGCTGCAGGCTTGCGGGGAGCTTGTGATGGTTAGAAGCAATTTCTTTGACATGTAGTTTACATTGTTTAGTGTTGACAGAGGAAGCAGACTTCGTCCTCCAAACTCAGTGAAACTGCTGCATGCATAATAAGATTTATACCGACTTGCAGACTTGCGCAAGTTTATCGCCTAATTTGGCTGACCAACAAGCCTTTATAGCAAACCAAGATACAACAAGTGTGGTTCTACTTATAGCGGCTGCCCCGCAGGGAAAGCCAAGGCGTCTCCGAAGGCGAAAGGCCAGCCTTGTTACGATTGTTGAGACTCAGGAAGCCTCCCTTTGCGCTGTTTGCTTGAAGTCTCAGGCAGCAAACCTGCAGCAAAGTCGGTTGCAGTGCCAAAGTCTGCTCCAAAGACTCCGAATCCCAGGTACGTTTGTGCATGTAATGCCAAGCATGAAGGAAAATCATGTTGCACTGCAGACTGCAGAGGACACCGGCTGCAAAGAAAGGGAAGGAAGTCGAGCCGCAGACAAATGCAAAGGTTCCGCCCTTCGACTCTGCTATAATAGTTGTTTCCGGAGAAAGTGTTTGCTGCTTGCAGCATGTCACCAGAATACAAAGGCCGTTCCGTGTACACCAGCGCCCTACCGCAATGTGGAAGCAGAGGCCCTTAATTTACACCTGATTACACCTGTTTCATTTTGTGAATATCCAAATCAGGGCAGAAGAGTTTTGTAGCGGAAGGTCCAGTTGCGAGCATCCTATGCCGCCAAACATGCCAGATGCTTTGATCAAAGTGCGTAGCTGTCACGACTGTGATATCCTGGTGCTGCAAGCTTTCTGCAACGAAGAGCCCTTTGCGTTTATGACCTTCCGCTGAAGGCACAGCTTGAGGAAGCACTCCGCAAGGCACTGCTGCCCTATTCTGCTCGAGTCTGCCTCCTTGTTGTCATACCATGGCACAATATTAGCATTATTAGCAGTTTCATTAGCACTGATTTACTGGACGTCATTGTGTCTGGGTGGCGTGGCTCGTGCCTTTGGTACAGTTCTGATAGCAGGCCCAAGAGATGGAAACAGTGGCTTATGCTGAACGATCAAAGGCTGTGGAGGTGGAAAACATGGGCTGACTCCAACAAATCTGATGGAGTCGCTTGAACCGAATCAACCTTCAAACTGGCAAAAAGCGGTTAAAAGCTCTTGGCAATTCCTCTAAGAATCAAGATCAGTTCGGTGTGTCAAAGTTCATTCAACAGGCTGAGAAGCGTGCAGCCGCAGCAGAAGCATTCTTGCAGGACGAGCTTCGACCATCGCAACGGAAATACGAACACGGTAACGTCGGATGCTCTTTGTCAGAAGCACAAGCGGTCACCAGCGTTTTGGTTCTCAGGAGGTGAGAGAGCGTGCATCCAGAGCTGAGGCAAGCCTCCGCGGCAGAGTTGGGAATTTGGAATATCTTTGTGAATCTTTCTCACATTTTCTTTCTGCACAAGCAATGGTGAAACTAGACATATATAGAACATTATAGAACATTATAGAACTATCATGAAGTATCTGGACATGATTACAGAAAATGCCATGAGCTGAAAACAAAAGAACCACGGGGCATCATGGGACGGTGTCTCCGGTGTCTCTTGATGCGCTGTCCGCTGGAGTCCGCTGGAGTCCGCTGGAGGCCCTGCAATTGGAAGTTGCTCAGGCTCAAGCACGTGCTGCTCATGCCGAAGCAAAGGCAGAGGCGCTTCGGGCGCTTCGCCACTTCCGTCCAGCTGGTTGGATGATTTGGGTGCATCGGAAAATGCGACAGAGCCATTTGCACCTGTTTCGACAGGTTCTGTCAGAGCTACAAGAGAGCTTTCAGCGAAATGTCCCAGAGATGGTGCCGCCCAAAAGACAATACTTCATGGGGGTTATCAACCCATGATAGGGGATGGGCATTCCAGTGATTACTGCTTGTAGGAACTATCCTCATGAGAAATCTTGAGATGGAGACAATGTCTATTGGTCCGTTAGCCAGTATTGGCGGTGATGTTGCCAGTGGCTCAACTACAGATTGATTTCATTTTTGGGTGAAACAGCAAAACAACTCAGTCACCACTTCCGTACATGGTCACTATCCCAGTGAATGAAACTGGTTAGGAAACGGTAGATAGCCGAAGCAGGATTTTGCATTTGAACGTTTTTGTAAAGGTACGATCTATTGCGCAGACCATCGTGGATTGCTCAACCCGAGCCTTGGCTGGCTTTGAGGTTTGCAGACTAAACTTGAATTGAATTTGCTACACTCTCCCCGTTTGAACTTGCAATGGCCTAGCAGCTTTGCGGGTTTGTCCTCCATCTTCCTTTCCTTTGTTTCAAGGACGGCGCAATACACGCAGCTTGGCGTGTAATACCGGATTCAGGGGAGTAATGCCCAAGCTGGAACTTGAGGACCCGCAACTTAGGGTGTCATTGGGAATCGTTTGGACAGTTGCATGTGCCCAGCTCTTCGATTTTAAGCATGGACCTCACAAACATGAAGGAGTCGGTCACCTGGATCATGCTTCTGCAATAGTCTGAACATAGACATAGCTCGATGATGCTCATGCTGTTGAGTTTGGCAGGATACAACGGACATGCTGCCTCTGGTGCCTGTTGGCGTTGCGGAGGTGCCTGTTTCAAGCCATGTCCACTGCACCCACTAGTGGAAAAAATGCATGACACAGTCATGAACCATCTGCCTGGTTCTGAAGGACTTCAATGGCCATGACAAAGCATCGGATGAACTGATGAAGTGGCCTGAAAGCATCTGGAATGCAGTGGATGTTCCAACAGCCACAAGTTGCAGTTGAGGTTCTATGGGCAAGGCGGCACCGAGGAAATCCCAAGCCGGGAACTTATAGAGATGGGATTGCCATCGACCTGGTATGCCCGTGACGATCTGAATATTAGATCCATCAACCTCCGCGATGAACTGTAGCGGCTGTACTTTCTGCAGCTGGATGCTTTGCACCGCTTGAAACATGTAAGGTTCTGCGGACACGCACCAATCCTCGCAGAGTGAGCGTCCCAAGGTGGGCAAGACTGTTTGATGTGTATAATAGGTCTATTCGAGTCTCTTTCTGCCTCCCATCGATTTCAACCAGCCAGGCAGCATCCAGACTCAAAGATGTTGCAGGTGTTCTCAAGCGTGCCTAGAACTCAGAATGAAGGCAGGTGCCCTCAGGCAGCACAAAAAATGGTTTGGTCCAGCCATATGGCTGTCTTGCTGAAGCCAGGTAGTTGCGAGCTGTCCTCAATACTTTGCGCATAAGTGTGACAGTGTGACCCAGGTAGCTCGCAGTGCCAGTCCATTCTCAGGAGGGCACTGACACTATACGATGCCCATATATGGCCCATATATGGCCCATATGACGGATGATGCTCCGTCTTGGGGGCTTCATGGCTTCACCTACTGGACCTACTGTTGGTGTGGCTTTGTGGTGTGCACTGCACACCTCTTGTGGAAGAGAAGAGACATTGAGATCAGGATGTTGAACGTGATGTGTTGATGATCAAAGCTTGCCAACCCTGAAGATTTTGCCAACCCAAATCTTCCCAACTCTTTTCCATATTCTGACATCCTGATTTCAGCGTCGAAGATTCTCATTTCTGCCAATTGTTCCATTCTGCTAGCTAGATCCCATGTGCATGGAACCAGCAGCTTTTGAAGAAGATGTGCAACACTTATCTTATATACATATATATATATAAAATATTAATATATATATATATATTACAATATAATGTTTATCATATATATATATGTATAGGTTTACTATCCAGAATCAATGATGGACCAACATTTGTGCACCAATATTCATCCATGCAGACCGAAGATGGTGTTTGTTGCCGATTGGATCTCGTTTCAAGAGCAGCTGCAGCGCACTGGCAGTGTTGAATTCAATGATATGATGGGCACATGGTGAGTTCGGAATGTCGATTTCTGATTTGTGGCTAGGGGCAATGCCTTTTCTGAGCCCCGTGTGCTCAAAATTCTGATGTTGATTGATCATTTTATTCATTTTGAGCCGGCTGCGGGATAGAGACAACGCAGCCCATGCGGGAATCGAATCAGTGAAGCTGGGACAACTTTGGGAGATCAAGACTCGCGACAAAAAGATGGAGTAAAGCTCAAGCCACGATGCAGCAGGTCAGGTTTTGGATATTCTACCTTGTACCCAGTAGGTGCAAGATGCAAAGTCTGTTGGATCAAACTCTTCCCATCTGCAGCCACCAACATTTCCAACTGTCAAGGGGATCTGTGAACAGCAGAGAACACCTGCATCAGCAAGTGCATGACTCTAGTATTTCAGCCTTCGCAGAGAAAACAAGGATTGTTCTACTTACAACGTTGTTGGGACAAGGTCAACAGCACTAGGTGCTTTGCATGGACACTTAGCTGACTTAGCTGACTTAGCTACACACCTTATTTGGATCTCATGAGACCCAGAGATGGACCAGTTGGGAACCCATGATGGATCCGTCCTGGAAGCGTCAATGTGAACCACTCCGGCCTCAGGTTGAAAAAGTTCAATCAATGGCTGAAAGAGCACTCCAATAAGCAGGCCACAATTTCAGAAATGCCTGGCTGTGTTCCCAGTATCTCAAGCGACTGTTTCCACTCCATTTCGTATCAACATAGCCCTGAAGGATGTAGCCTCCGAACGAAAACAACAAGATGAGGACCCCTTTTTGCTGGAGGAAGAGGAGCCCGATGGCAGAGCACAGGCTGCGCAGCAAGGCTGCTGAATTCTCTGAAACGATTTAAGCCAATTTAAGCTGGATTCAGGAGCATGAAGAGGAGATTGGCAACTTGCTCCAGCAATATGGTATTCTGCTTGAGTACGAGCGCATGCAGGACATGGTTGGGAAGCATCGCAAGCTTCTGTGATGCTTGTGATGCTTGTGCGTTTGCGCTTTTTTGGGGCCTGAGAATGATCCACAGTGCGCTGCCATTTTCCATTCGGCTCCAAGAAAACTGAAATCCCTGCGACAGCAGAAACATTGGGAGATAGTGCCAGAGCCTTGGAATGATCCTCAGGGGTGGCCTGTAGGATCTGAAATAAGCGCACGTGCGATGTTGAATTAAATGTTATTAAACTTAAATCATGACAGGGTAGATTTTTACGGCAATTACAAGGGTCCTGGTTAGTGTGATAGGGACAGCTTTCGCTCAGAAGCATTTCTTCCTTTCGGGCTGGAGAAAGGGTTACACACGATGAATTGATCTTGGAATTTGCCGTTGGCATTGAGCCAACCCACAAACGTGCGAGGCTGATGGTAGACCAGGCTGATGCCACGGCTTCATGTTTTCTGCAGGATTTTGAGATGGCTTGAGTATATTTGAGTATGAGAATCTTCTTCATTGCACCTTTTTGGAGAAACTTGTCCCACACCTGCCTTCTTATGCTTTCTATTTCTATGTTTCCGTAGCTATTTTTAGGGTTACAAGTTGCCTCCGGGTGCGCGTTATTCCAGGATGTAAACCGCAAAGTGTAGAGCCGAGTAGAGCCATTGATGAACTCTGCACAGCTCCTTGAGGGGGTTTGGCAAGCAATGTGCTCGCAGATTTGTCGAGACCAAGGCATTGTCGATGACATGGATCACTCCCAGAACTTCACGACTGACATGGCGGAGGGCGATACAACTCCTTTCAGACATGCCTCAACAACAGAATCAGCCTACTGTTCTCATTGTCAACCAAGTGCTTGCCATCCTCAAAGATGCAAACAAAGGTCATTTGGCATTTGATGTGTTACACAGCTTGCCCAGTATACGGATCCAACCTGATTTGGTCAGCTACAACACAGTCACCAGCGCACTGGAGCGGTCATCATCGTGGCAGAAAGGAGTGGAAAACGTGGAGAAATTGGTGATGGACCCGGCAGCAGGCCTTTTGCCGAATGTCATCTCTTTTAACACTTTGCTCGCTTGCGTCCGGCGCAGCAGCAATTGGAGAGCAGCGCTGCTGGCATTTAGCACTCACGAGGGTGGGCAGGGGGTGCAGGGGGTGATGAACTTGGGTGATCTTTTGCTCGCAATACGAAAAGCAAGGGTGCAGCCTGATGGTATAAGTCATGCGACAGCTGTGAGCGCTTGTGCAGATGCAGTGAAATGGGCCGAGGCACTAGCCCTGCTTTCCGAAATCAACTTCACCGCACCAAGGACACAGAGGACATTGAAAACTTCTCAGATTGCAGCTGTGACGACAGTTCTGACAGCATGCAGCAGTGTTTCTAAGTGGCTGCAAGGGCTGAAGGTCCTAGCGGATGCTGCCTTGGACAGTGACAGTGATTTCGATGCTGCTGTGGTTGGTGCAATGGTCAATGCTTGCGCTTTAGGGCAAGCCTGGGAGCTGGCGGTGGCCACTTGGCAAATTCACCACGGGCACAGCAACGAAGTCGTCCATCGCTCGGCCATCGCAGCCTGCGAGTTGGGCTCCTGGCAGATGGCTTTGGCGCTGTTGCAGATCTATCATCACAGATATGGCACCGGCACAGCTGGCACAGCCATTGCCACAGTAGCAGCCATGGCTGCAGCTGCAAAGGCCACCCGATGGCCGCTGGTGTTGAAGCTGCTGGAGGAGACCGGGTGGAGACCGGGTGGAGACCGGGTGGCTTGGATTTGTTGTGAGCGTCCCTGAAGAAGGCCCAAGAAAGAATGATTCGAAGATCTGTATTTCGTGAGGGACACCAACCTTCCATTCTGATGGGAAAGGCACAGGAAACCAGTGTTGCATGACGCAGCTTGTTGGTTCAGATGACTTAGTGGATTTAGGGGGCTTGAGAGGGAAAGCATAGGCCCCAAACAGATGGTAAGCACATGCAAGAACATTTTTGCAGCTTTTGAAGCATGAAATATCATGAAATATCCAACCAGTTTTAGGCAACTGCAAGCGAGTCTCAGAATATCTCAGATAATATCTCCGAACTGAACCAGATCATTGTAGCTAGTGGATGACTGCCATGGCCTTGACAGAAGTTCCTCGGCGTGGCTGCTCGTCCAAATCCTTCAAAAATGTGTCACGAGGTCCAAGTCTGGAAACAACAACAGCTGGAAGTGCAGCAAGTGTTACACCTTCAGCACAGTCGGCACAGTCAGCACAGCAGAGTTTGGCATCAAGCTGTGCTGGGAATGCCACGCCGGTTCTGGACACTTCATCTACTTTAGTTTTTGTCGACTGGGATGACACTTTGTTTCCCTCCACCGAAATTTTCGATCGCTGGGGTCTCCAGCTCCGATTAGAGGAGTCGGATGTGTTAAATGCTGAACAGCAAGAACTGCTGAAAATGTGGCGAAAGTCACTGCAGCGGTTCCTAAGGGCAGTTTCGGAATTCTCAGGGCATTGTGCAATTGTGACGAATGCAGAACCCATGTGGGTGGAGAATTGCCTGCATCGTTTCGCCCCAGAAGTGCTGCAAGTCTTGAAAGAAGCGGGAGGTCCTGCAATTTTACATGCCAAGGATGTTCTTAGATCTCTGAGGTCCAGAAAGAGAATCTGGCAGCATGATGAGATTTCGCTCCCTGCTAGACATTTAGATGTTTACCGTGAAGATGATTTCCAACACTTCAAATATGTCGAGATGACTGCTGCAAAATATCAAGCTATGAAAATGGAATTCAATCGAGTCTTTGGAAATCGAGAAGGAATCTCTCGGTGCAACGTGATCAATTTTGGAGATATGGAATATGAACACGATGCGGTTCTAGAGCTTGGAATGCGTTTATGCGAGCTCCCTGAACTGCAAGAACCTCACATCAAGTCCTTTCTTTTGCCAGAAGAGCCGACCTCAGAGTGGAACAGCCCTCTTGTGGAGTCACATTGAAAGAGCTATCTATTATAGCAACTTATAGCAGCTATCGATATCACATGAATGATATCACTGAAGTCAAATCTTTGGTCTTGCAGATTTTTGCAGGGTGTGACAGGCTGTCTCCTCAGGGTCTGCATTTTGCTCAGGCACCGAAGATCACGGAATTAGCAATCAGATTGGATTTACTCCGCCTTCTGCTGCCATATGCTCAGTTAATCTGGCAGAGTATGAAATCAAAAAGTATGCTTTAGCAACCCCCAAAAAGAGAGAACAGTAATTTCCGACTTTTTAGTAGGTTTTTACATTTTCATTTTTTTGGGGGTTTTCATAGACTCTAGGTATCTCTATGTATGTATTATGTATATCTATTTTCTTTTGGTGGGAAGTCATCCGAACCATATGAAATGGAAGTAAGCTGACCGGCACCGCTGGCTGGCTGTTTACTGCACTGAGGCCTGCGATTGTTTGCCTCGAAGGTGACATTTCTCTGAATCTGAAGGAGCTTGCATAGATGTTTTTTTTCTAAATAACAGTTGCAGAGTTCTATGTAATGTTTGTGCCGTCCTTGCCTTTGAGCTGGAACCATTCTGGCCATGTGAAAGAACTGCCCATCTCGTGACTGTTTACGTCCAAAACCGTTCAGGAGTGGTGTTCCGATGGATGGATGTGCACTCCTATGGCACTTCTTTCAAAGGCCCCCTGAACTGAATGCTTTGCAGTATTTATATAAGTTTTCCGGAGGTGGAGTTGTACATATGAGTTGAGGTGATGCATTGGACTTCAAATCTTGAATCAAAACAACTCAATTCAAGTGGTGAAGTCATGTAAAGTGACTCGTGGAGTGCTTATCCTATTTGCTCCTATCACCCATATTGGTACTCACCCGGTTCCGTCTTGTGCTTGTTTGCCCATGCCAATCTGCAGGCTTTGCGAATCCCGGACCTGGAGCAAATTGAGATGCCCCATGCGTTTGGCTGGGGGCATCCACCATCAGAAAATGAGGCTGGGCGGACGCAGAAGATCCCGTGGCAAGATCCTGAAACTCCAAAAGTTATCACTTAGAATCTTAGAAGGTTTTGGAATGTTTGGAATGTTTTAGAACTGGGGACAATGCCAAAGCCGCTTAAAATTGCCTTCCGGCAGAGTCTTCATGACACCCTTCATCTTTCGAGGACTTTCATTGAAAGTTGGAACTATCTTTAATGGAGCTTCAAGCTGTGGCTTTGAAAGTTCCAAAGCTTCACGTCTTGAGGTGGCCGACAGCTTGCAAGAAGTAGCTGCTGCCTTGGCATCTCGCTGTTAGGCCTTTTGGGGATCGAACAAATTAAGATTCGACATATTTCAAAATAGCAATGTCCCTTTCACGCATGCAATCTGCGATTTTGGACATGCTCTTGCATTTTTTTGCGGACATCACACGCCACGCTGCTGGGTGGAGCAAGTCAGAGTCATTTTGACAGCTTACATTTTCCTGGGGCCGCGCCTGCGCCAGGTCTGCACTAATGTTCTTGAATGTGAGAGTTATTTTGTGAGCATCAGGTTCGAATTTAAGGATGTTTCTTCATTGAACACCTCGCACTCACCTAAGCTGTGAGCTGGAGGTATCCACACCAGGTGGAAAAATGCAAGAGGTCAGCAGAGCCTTAATTCTCGCAGTTCTGGCAGTTGAAAATGTGCAGCCAAGCCACAGGTGGTCTAGATTCTAGATTTTCTTACCTTGCGCCCAGTGGATCCAAGTGGCAACAAGCTGTTCTCAAGTTTCAAATGTCGCAGGAGCCGAGCCTCAGGCGAGTTCCAGCTGCGATCAACACCACACTGGACTCCTTTTCACGAGGAATGCAATGGATGCGTGGCAGGGACCTCAATTGACGCTCCAGGGGAAGGCAGGCATATAGATTTAGCGGCTCTGGGATCTTGAATCTCTAACATATCGTCTAGATCCTTTTGGGCTGTAGGGTCCTATTGTGAAAACTTGAATTGCCAGTGTGAGCAGACAGAAACCAATTTTAGGGTCGCTGACTTCAAGTCCTTTCTTTTCATTTTGTTGAATGCGCCGACTTATTCTTTCTTGAATTCTTTATTGTTCTGCCACCTACGTTTTGAACCAATTGAAAATGATTTGGGTTGGCATGGAAGGGGTTGCCTTTTCGCGAAAAGGAAGCCCGTAGTGTAACGAGTGGTCCATCCAGCATACCATACTGCGTGCAACTTTCAATGCAGTCCTTTGCCTCATCCGCAATTCCTGATGAATGAAATCTTTGTTGTCTCGGATTTGCCAGATGAACTGCCGTTGTGCGCTTTGTCGTCTTTGTGCTGTTCGCCTGAGGTCTCCAGCTGATTCAAGAGGCTCTTGTCCGGCATTGAGGAGTATTCAATGCTTGCACCGCTCAAGTTAACTTGAGGCAGAGAGTCTGGGCTCGGCGCTGCCTTCAACGTACACTGCGGGAATAGCAGCGCTGGAGATGATGCCATCATTTGTGCCCAGGCGGCTTTGATCTAAGCATGCTGCCAGAATTCATGGTTTGACTTCATTGGGCCTTGGTAGTTGCAATTCAAAGTTGAGCGAATGCTTTTTCAAAAGAAACAGCTGTTGATGCCAGTTTGGTTCGCCGACAATATCATTTGGCTCTCAGCAAAGGCCTGCCTGGCATTGTATGACTATGTATAAGTTACAAGCTGTTGCCAGACAAACAGACAGACAGAGACACAGATAGAGTCAACCAAGCAAAGTTGGTGTGGGGTCCCTGAGAGACCCTGTTCTTGCTGGTTCCCTTTTGTCCCAGACATGTCGTCCTTTCAATGCATCAACTTGGTGCTGCTTGCTGAACAGGTTGTCAAAACTCGCAGAATTTGGGAGATTTAGTGCTTCTCGGCAGCATAGTGAGCTTTGCCTCCGTGCACTCAAATCCAAGTTGAGTGGTGCTGTGATGTAGCAGTTCAGGTTTTCCTTTGAAATGATGACAGAAGTAGCTTCGGGCTTGAAAGCCCCAAGTGCTCAGATCTCAGCATCCACACATGTTTATGCAAAAAGCAGCTGTTCAAATCGACCATCGCTTTCCAAGGCGATAGCACTGTGGCATTGCAGCGTGGCTGCCAGTGGTCAGAAGCCAGAGGCGAACTTAGCAGCGTGATGAACGGACTCTGAATCACAGCGAAATTAAATCCATCCTCATGTCCAACACAGGCATGCGGCATTGCCTCACTTGGCCCCTGCCTAGCCCGAGTCTTGAGAACAGATACTTTTTGCATATTTGCATCTTTTTGCAGTGTTTAAAGTTTAGTTCAGAGTTAAAGTCTTGCAGAGCCGCAGAGGCGCGATCAGCTTTGCCCAACTTACACTGTCAGGCTGGATTTTCAGCCTGGAACAATAGCTGTCTGGATGGTAAATGAGCACCACTTTGCCGGCACACCGTGAGGCCCATGACTTCTCCCTTTCCCGGGAGCGTCTACTGAAGCACCTTTGCAAGGTGCTTCACAGTGCTTCAGACGCTGTGGCAAGTAGGAGACAAGCACCGCGGCTTCGAGGTTTGTCCGCAACGGCCATCGGTAGAATTCTTGGGTGTTCAAGCCTCAGACTGTCGCTGCCAAAATTCTGATTCACATCTTCAAAAACTTGATCCCTGCGAATTACAATCCATCGTGGAACAGAAATTTGTCCTCTGGTTCTAAGCACGGTCGCCATTTGAATAGGCTAGGTCACGCAGCACGCACCGTCACGTTTTTGGGAGCCATGGCGGATTTCCGGACCTTTTGGTTGGCCTTGTGCTTGGCTTCAGCTTGGGGCTATGACAATGGAGCAAAGAACTCTCGCAAGCCGCCACTGGGCTGGTCCAGCTGGGTGGGACTTGGTCCTCAATGGCCGGGACCAGAAGGTCAGTCTCCAGTCTTCGATTTTTGTGATGAAACCAGTGTGAAGCTCTCCGTGGATGCCTTTCATTCCGTCGGATTATATGATGCTGGCTACCGGCATTTCCACTTGGATGACTGCTGGGCGGACTTGGAACGCAATGCATCAGGATTTTTGCAGGCCGAAAGGGATCATTTTCCCAATGGCATGAAAGCCATTGTGGATTATGCGCACTCTAAAGGTCTCACCTTTGGCCTTTATACTTGCGCTGGTACTCAGACATGCGTAGGAGGCCGTCCAGGTTCCAAGGGTCATTTCCGCGAGGATGCTGCAGTCTTTGCAGAGTGGGGTGTCGATGTGGTGAAGATGGATTGGTGCCATACAGAGGGCATGGACCCTCAGGAGACTTACACCCAGTTCTCCAAAGAACTGAATCGAACAGGACGGCCCATCCATTTTAACATGTGTGAATGGGGTAAGGATGCTCCATGGAAATGGGGTCCGAAAGTTGCACAGTCCTGGAGAGCGACTGGGGATCACACTCCCATTTGGGAAGATACCAAGAAAATTATCGCAGAGAGGACCCAGATTCCGGTGGATGAGTCGGGTGGCTCATATGCCTGGAATGACATGGACATGTTGGAAACCGGGAACTACAGGCAGGCTGCGCATGCGAATGGAAAAACTGGAAACATGACTGCAACTGAGTATCAGACCGAATTCAGCATGTGGGCCATTCTCGCATCTCCCCTGATTGTCACCACCCCTTTGCTGAACTGCTCGAAGACTGATCAGATTGCTGGCAACTTCACTCCTGGCGCTTGCAGACCTTCCATCACACCCTTGCAGAAGAAGATCCTTTTGAATGAGGAGGTCATTGCGATTAATCAAGATGACACTCCAGCTGGTCGTTTGCTCAAGGATGGTGAATGGATGATCTATGGCCGAAATCTGACTGATGGATCGATGGCAATTGCCTTTTACAATCCGTCCGAAGTTGTTGCAAAGGTCAGCCTTGTGACTCGTCGAATTCTGCACATATTTGTTGGCCAACCAGAGCACTCAAAACTAAAACCCCAAACCCAACATTGGGATTGCAAGAGCATTTCTGGTAAGAGACCGTTTTCTTCCTGCAACTGAGGACTTCTCTTTGCTGGGTTGGCCAGCTGGAACAACGGCGACAGTGCGGGACCTTTGGGCAAAGACGGACTTTCCCGTGAGCAAGGACCGCTTCCCTGTGAAAGACTATCAAGACGTGGAGGCGCACTCTACGCTGCTGCTCCGACCTCAGTCACATTGCGAGCAGGCGATACTTAAAGGGTTCCCATTGTCTTGCAGTGAAAATGGGCTTTGCACGCATGTTCGGTCCAACATGCCTGGCAGCATCACACTTTATTCCCTGCCTATTCAACCTCCTCTGGCAATGAGTCTTGAACTTTCCGCTTTCCTATCAGAAAGTTGTTTATCAAGCCTGGAGTGCTGTTGCACTGCCAACTTCTGCCACTTTACAGTGGACACTATTATCCTGCTGTTTCTGTCCTATCTCCCCCTTTCGCAAATCAATCTGATTTGGCAGCTTTTCAGGCCATACAGGCTAATTTGCTTCGCTTTGCAGCAGAAGGATCTGACCTCCTCCTCTTTGTAATTTTCTCTCCTGCCTGTCTAGATGTGCAAGAAACAAAAGCAACTCTGTGGAATGTAGCGGCGAGTCATGTAGGTACCCAGCAGGAAAACAGGGTGAATGTCCAAAGTCTAAAGCCAGTCAATGCAAAACAACTTGTCCACTGAATTGAGTAAGTGGCAGTTGCTGTACTTTATCGTCAAGGAAGTTGATTGGAGTCAAAAGCACACCGCGGTCTGTTGGGGCTGGGAGAGGTTGACTAGTGCAGCATCTGGAATCTTCGCTGTTTCTGAGGTGCAGAATCAAAAAGGAATCGGAGAAGACATGGATCTCAGTGTGAGCACTGGAAGTTTTGCTCCAGGCTCAAAAGCAGCCGCTTTAGTATGTATGTAGGCGATTGAGCTGAAAGCCAAAAGAAGCTGCAAAAGGAACTGGTCCATTCAGTTCAATGCACAGTTGGGATACATATATATATATATATACATATATATATACATATATATATAAACATATATATATAATATATATATATATATACATATTATATATATATGGGATATCCTAGAAGCCGTGCAAAGTCTCGATCGGATCTATTTCTCAGCAACATTCAGCAACAGACCTGTTGTTTTGAAATTTCAAGCCTCCTAAACTGAACCGAGTGGCCCTTGAGGTTTGGCTGGACATCGACTGCAAGATCAACCTGCAGTCATCAGTGCAACTTGTGGTTAAAAAGTGTGGCTGCTTTTGTGTGAGGTTGCAGCAGAAAGAAAGTCGTGGTTCCATGCTGGCTGGAACAGTTGCTCATTTTTCCTCCAAATGCAGCAAAGAGTTCTCGTTTCACTGAGGGGTGTGGGGATTGGACCGTGTTCGCCTTGATCTCCATTTGTGTGTTGCAACTGTCTACAACTGCTGGCAACGTTTGCTGCCTCCAACTGTTGTAACCGCTGCCACTGGGGTGCTTTTTTTGCATGAAATCATGTTTGCATGGCAGGCGCAATAAGTCACCAAAGGTAGCCGCAGCTACCAGATAGCCTCGATTCTATGCACTTCAGTACACGAACTGTATTGTCAGATTGTTGTGAGGGGCCCATAATTCCAACGATATTCTTGGGCAGGTCTGTTGCAGGCGCAGAGAAATGAGTTTGAGAGTCAGCTACATAACCTTTGGAAGTGGCATTATGCTCCAAAGCACTTTTTATTTCATCGTATCTTACTATGTAAATTGTAAAACAACACATTTACATATAATTATATCAAGTTGTACGTGCCCTTGTTTTGGTCGTCCACGTGTGCTTGCGCAAGTACCGGCTTCAGTGGTTGTGCCGGCTAGTGGCTACTTCTTGTCAATTTGTGGGCAGGTGCAGTACTGCGTCAACATTGTGTAGTTTTACTTCCGCTTTCCGAAGCGCCGAGGCTTGTGTCCAACCGAAGTACCCCCCAAAGAGTATCTCACAGGTGTGTCTCACAAGACCTACAAGCATGTCCAGCAGAGTGTTTTCCAAGAGCATTCAAAAAAAATGTGTCAAGAGGGTCGTCCAAGAGTGTCTTAAAAAGAGTTCCACAGCCCATAGCACCACAGAAGTGTCCCACGAAAGTGTCCTTCTGATTTTTTTTCCTTATTCAGAAAAGCTGAGCTTCATGAGCTTCTTACATGTAAGACATAGGATTAGCGCCCGGAAGGCGATGTGTGTTGTGATGGGGTGGAAGCGCTGAAGTGAGCCTTAAAAAGCTGTGAGCTGAGACGCGTTGCAGTTGAATCTAAGCTGGTGCACGGTGTGACAGTTTATCCAGGTGATTTGTCTTTGAGCACCAGTTGGTCAAGGGCATGAGGGCTAAATCAAAGATACAAGGAGAGAAGACATCGCGAGAGCCACCATTGCACTGCCTATTATAGGCTCATTAGGTTTTTTTTGCATTGAACAACTGAGACCTTGCTCGGTGATCTTTGCGTTCCGTCGCGCAGATGCGCAGGGGCCTTAAAATTGATTCCAGCCCCTTTCAAAGAAGAAATAGGTGGATATATGATGATATAATGATATAGGTCCTAGCATTGAAAGCTTAACAGAGATTTTCGCACTAGCGGCCTGAGGTTCAATTTGTAATTAGTTTTCACCGTTTAGTTCTTCTGTTACATAATGCAAATTGCCATCTTTATTTTGTGCAATTTCGGGGGTGTCAGCATTGGATCACGGCTAGGACTTTCTTTTCCACAGCAAAAGTCTTGTTTATTTATTGTTTGTTTGTGCTTGGGTTCGTATGTTTTCGTAGTTGACACACACACACACATTTCACCAGCTCCCAGAAGGTTCGTGTCAGGTTCAAATTTTGACATGGAAGGCTTCTCAAAAACGCGACACCATGCGTTCTTTTGGCCTGTGCGTTTGTGTCAGGCCAACCGGAGGATTTTTGGAGTTTACCCTGCATCAAGGTTCTCAGGCTCCAGTGTGGCAAGAGAATGGCACCAACACCCCAATTTTGTTTTTGCTCATGCCTTGTATCAGATGTGTTGAAGACAGAACGCGGGAGTCAAGGGGGTTCTTAATTTTGTTTTAATCGTTTTTTTTGAAAGGAAACCTCACGATGGTGGGGTTCGTCGCTTTTGACAAGCTGTGTCGCTCCGCTTCAGGCCCTTGTAGGAAGAAGACCGAGTGCCCCAGGCAGCCATCCGGCAACTTTGAGATGTTGGGCCCTCGTTAAGTTTGGCCGATACTTGCTATGCAGAGAGACACCGGAGGTTGTGTCGGAAGATCATTGACATAGTACATGACTTCTTGTAAGGGCCACTGGTGCTTGGGTTTGCAATTCATTTTTGGATGTGGCAGCCGTGCTCCTCAAGGTGCGAGCCGATCCCAACAGATTTGATTGCAAAGGCGAAGCTTCCCACGTGGCAGCAAGGTGGCATTTGGAAGGGGTGGCAAAGCAACTCATCAAGGCATAAGCTGATGTGCATTTGCCAGTGGCTTGCTCAGGGCGGGTTGCAGCTTGGACCTCTGCACCATGGGCCTCTGCAAAGCTGAGGGCCCAGCCGCAGTCGAATGCTTAGAGAAATTTCCAAAAGCAACCAGGTGAGGCACAAAGCGTGCCCACATTTGGAAACTTCTTCGGGTGATGCTGGACCAAGGTACATTTTCAATCACGAAGGTACTCAGCAATTCGCCTTGAAGGCAGCACCGAATACATCCCAGAATTTCCCATTTTTTTTTTGCACGGCCAGAAGTGCAAGCGAGTCTAAAGTGGCGTATTTGCAAGTCACGCGTGCAACCCGGAGCGACTGGCAGCGTTGACCGACACCACACTCCTGGTGTTTTTAACTCGCGCATGGTTGCAGCGTTGCTGCAGGCTGCGTGGATACAAACAAGACTGTCAACCGCCTGGGCGAGGTTTTTTTTTGCATCTTCTGATGCTGCCCTTGCTGTGCCACGTTTTCTTCACCTTACGAACTGTATCAAGACCAGTCAGCGGCGCCAGCGGTGCTCTTCCTCAGAGCCTGTGCCAAACTGATGTTGGAGCTACAGGCTCGGCCATGGAAATACATCTTGCAGTGGCTTTCTAGCAGGCTTTTGCACAATGAAGAAAACGATTTGTTCGGGGAGCCATCCAGCGCGGCTGTCATTTTGTTTCGCTTGTGCTTTGGGCCTGTTTTCAGAGAACGGTTTCTGGAGGTGAGGCTTTGGGCATCGCGAAGCGTGCGCGCTAAGGCTAGGGCTCTCCTGCTATGCTCTCCTATATAGGAGAGCATAGCAGGAGGAACATTGCTCTACTGACCCTCATGTTCTTCGACTGTTCCAAATGCAGCTCAGTGTGGCAGTGGCCTTGGCTGTTGTGGAGAATGGGGCGTCAAGAGCCCGGAGCATTGCTGCATTGGGCTGGTCGTCCAGGCCGAGCCGCCCATGGAGGCACTTAGGAGCCTCTGCAGTGAGATGAAGCCATAGTCATAGCATGATAAGCTGAGGACACGACTTGAAGAATTGCAGTCAGATGACTGCAATTCTTCAAGTCGATGTCAGAGCAGAAGTCATTGCGCGACGAGCAAAGGAAGTTGACAGAGTTGCTGAAGGAGTTGGTCCAATCTAGAGGCAGAAAGGCCCGGCCCATGCAGTGGGGCCACCACCAGCTGCACCAGCGCTTATGGGGCCAGCACTGTGGGGTCAGCCAAGCACAGCACGGGAGATCCCCCACAACTTGAGTTCGATCCGAGCCTGACAGTTGCCGTCCAGCCACTGTTGCTGCCACCGTTGCATGAACTGTGCTAGTGTAGTGATGCGTTTCATTCAAGAAATTCCGAATGTGAGAGAAACAAATAGCCGATGTATCCATCTGGATGTATCCATTGTGGCTCGACTCATGAAGATTCGGTGACTCAATGGGAACTTTTGCAAGGCCTGGGTCCTCAGGGGTGCACAACGAAATTTGTTCACTTGTTGTTGTACCCATGGTTGGATTTAGATATTTTAGATGGATTTAGTATCATTCTGAATCATTCAGCAGATATACTTATTATATAGATGAGTTAGATGAGTGCAAATGAATATGAACTTATGAAAAATTCATGTCTTATGATTTGATTCATTCTCCCACGCTCAAAAACGCTTTCTGGTTTGCTCCGTCATCCCTGGTTTTCCTTCAGTAGCCGTTTTCCCGCAGGTAGCCGGGAACCACAAGCAACCGCGAAGATTGGGGGAACCTTTGCGGCCATGGGGCCGAAAAATTGCCACAGCCCTGGTCTACTGCAGCAGTAGTTTCTCCCTGTGGTTTATGGTGATTAGACTTGATGTATCAAGTCTTGGTATATGGATGGATCTGGTTTGAAACCTTGAATATATAATCTTAGAAGGTGATTGCAATTCCTTGCAGATAACATCGCCAGCAATCAACAACACTTCCATGGTGGTTGAATGGCTTTGAAGTCGAACATATTTCTGCACAAACTGCAGACAAGAACAGAACCGACACTAGACCCACATGCATGGACTTACAGAAGCACATCATGCATTCACATGACAGGCTTGATTCCCCCAAACCTGACTTGATCCACGCTGTGAACTTGGCCCTTTTAGCATGCCGAAGAATTTGAAGCGTCCTGCCAGTGTTGTCTCGGAACCTGTTGAAGAAGCGGACGGCGAGTCTTCTAAAAAGCAATGCTCGGCAACCGAACCCCTGGCATCTCCAGAAGTCGACAAGAAGTTGAAGGAGATGTTGCTGGACTGGATACAAGATCATAATCATCATGAATGAATGTCTTCATGGCAGTTTTCGTTCAAGTAAACACATTCGACATCAGCAATCAGCCATCATCAGCATTTGTGTCCGTTACAGACCTGTTCCATTTTGGTCAGCCCATGCTGACCCGTACTGATCCGTGCTGTGAATCTGCAAGGCTTCTGTGCCTCAGCTCTGGCCTGGCGAAGAGCTATGCTTCCCAGGTGGAAGCCTTGGCAGCTGCGGCTGCACAACTGATGAATGCCTGGGATCTTTGGAGCCTTAGCGGATAACTGGCATACCTGGGATAGCTTGAGAATTCGGAACAGGGAGTCCGTAGATATCAAATAGATAACAATAGGCCTCAGCAGCAATCAATGGGCGTGTGAGAAATGTCTATCTACACAAAATTAGTATATTATAGTATATTGTATAATATAATATACGAGTAGTACCGCACAAGGCGCTGGCTGAAGTAGGACACTATAGGAGAGGTGAGTTGTTGTGATGCATGGATGGCAGAGCGAATCCTCTGATGGACAGGAAGGTGGTTGGAGTTGTGCTTTTTTGGAGTGCTTGCAGTGGTTGCAGTGGTCACCTCGCCCACAACTGCTGGATGTAGTGTGTTTCAGTGCAGCTGTAGGTGTAGCGTAGGGGAGTTGTAGTTGTAGTGAAGTGTAATTAGTGTAGTTGTAGTTGTAGTTGTGGTGTGGTGTAATGAGTGTAGTGAGATGAAATGTAGTGTAGTGTAGTGTGCTGTAGTGTAGTCTAGTGTAGTGTAGTGTAGAGTAGTTGTAGTGGTAGCTGCAGTTGGAGTTAGTGTAGTGTAGTGTAGTGTAGTTAGTGTAGTGTAATGCAGTGTAGTTGTAGTTGTAGTTCTAGTTGTAGTTGTAGTCTAGTGTAGT